CCAATCTACTGACGCCAGGTTCTGGTGAAGGAAAGTATAGCATTTATTTGCAGGGTGCCAAGCAAGGAGAACAGGCAGCTCATGCTTAAAAGACCCAAACTCCCTGATGGCTTCCAGGAAGGTTTTTAAAAGCAACATCTGGGTTGAGGGTTGCAGCTCGTGAACTTTAATCTGATTGCTGGTGAGGTAACAGGATGAAGTTTCAGGAATCTTATTCATCATCCTTCTGGTTGCAACCAGTCTGGGGTTCACTGCTTGTGGTCAGCATGTAGTTCCCATTCTCCACCTGGGTGAGGGTCTTAGTTTCTGCAGAACAACTCAAAGATATGCATCAGATGGTTATGTGTATCCCTTGAGGATGAAATATGACTCTGTTTTATCACTGAACTATTTGCTTTTCCTTTGTTTCTGTATTCCCTCACTTCCCTAATTAGTAATTGCTTGAGTCTGCAAAGTAGAACTCAGAGAAGGCCGGGAGACTAAAGCCTTTTTCTATAAACAAGAAACAGGGGCACAGAGAGGCTTTTGTACCCAGGAGGGCCTCATTGGGTTAGGTGTTAAATCTAGGTTTGGTATCATGGGATTTAGCATAAGTGACACTGTTTGGGGCCTGTGGTTTTTCTCTTTAACAGCAACTAGTTCAATATTATTTTTAAAACACCAAATAGTCTAACACAAGCCAAACAAAACAGGTCAGGGGGATGAATTTGGACCAATGGTGGCATTTTGATTACACAATATTCTGCCCCTTTATTCTCATGTGATACTATATATTGGAAATTGTTCCTTATCAGGACAAAGAGATCTAACTCATAGACTTTCATGGCTAGTATGAATATAATTTATTTAACTATTTCTATTTCTGGCTATTTTTCTTGTTAAATTAATTAAACAAAAAGGTCATTAGACGAGATGGTTCTAATGTCTTGGCAGTGTCGAGGAGGAAGAAATTTTCCTCTACCCTTCTAGCTTCTTCTGTCTGGCCTTGAAATGGAGCAGGATGCTGTGGGGTCCTCCTGGTACAAAAGCCTTTCTATATCCCCCATTTCTTGTTTGTAGGAAAAAAGCTTCAGCCTCCTAGACCTTCCCTGAGTTCCAAAGGGCAGGTTCAAACAGTTTCTAATTAGGGAAGGAAGGGAATGCAGAAACAAAGAAGGAGCAATCAAGAGACAAGAGTGCAGCCATAAAGCAAGGTCCTGGTTCCTCCTCAAGGAATATATATAACTTTGAGTTCTTCTGTAGAAACTAAGGCCCCCACTCAGGTGGAGACTGGTAACTACAGGCTGAGTACAAGATTCCTGGAACAGGGTCCTGTTACCTCACCACCAACCAATCAGAAAAAAGTCATATATCCTGCAGCCTTCATCCTAATCTTGTTTATAAAATTCTTCCCCCCAAACCATCTGGGAGTTTGGGTTTTCTGAGCACAGGCTGCCCATTCTCCTTTCATGGCCCTTTCAAGAAACCTTTCTCTACTCCAAACCTCTAGGTTTGTTTGGCATCACTGTGTGTTGGGCATGTGAACTTGTGCTCAGCAATAGTCTAATAATTAAGTTGACATGAGACAGATAAATAGGAGACAATCAAACAACAGTTCAATAACATGTATACATGGGAGAGACCCGGAAAAACTGTGACTCGCCAAAATGACTGAAGCCTTACCTTAAATATCAGTACCATCCTCAGCTAAAGACAAAAGAAGATGTTGGGGATAGGGGCTTGGGACTTCAAAGGGGAGAAAGGACATTCCCATGGAATTGGAAAAGTAAATATTTCCTAAATAAATGCTGGGCCATTCAGAGACAATTGGATGGAGAGTGGATTCTGATCACTAAGAGTTTCCCCCACTGCACTTAGTCCATATCTTTTACAGATATCTCTGGTGATAGCTCTATTCCTACAACAGGCCCTCTATCTAAATTCCTTAGGCAGCTAAGGGGGAGGTAAAAAGAAAGACTTCCTGAGTCCTCTGTTTCTTAAAAATAATCAACTTAAATTAACCTCATGCCAAACAGACACATTTTGTGGTGGCAAATTTTGTTCCCCTATAGCAGCCTACTAAGCAAAACAAAACCTAAGCCTCAAGGTTAAGAAATCAAAACCTAAAACAACCAATCAGAACAAGGTTAAGAAATCAAAACCTAAAACAACCAATCAGAAACAGCCAACTAGGCTTTCCCAAATAAGGTAACCACTTAAACTGCAGCCAACCAAATAATTTCCTTTCTTCACTTCTGTGTCTTCTCCATAAAAGTGTCAATGGATGGATCACTTCTAACCAATACTAGCTTTGTTACCGAATCCAATCTCACTCTGCTCGCCACACGACAGGCCAATAAATTGGGAGATGAGGTGTTGACGCAAGGAATAACGACTTTATTCGAAAAGCTGGCAGGCTGAGAAGATGGCGGACTAGGGTCCCCAAAAACCGTCTTATCGGGGTCTGGATGCCAGTCTCTTTTATAGAATCAGAGAGGGAGAGGCGGTGAGGAAGTAAAGTAAAAAGGGCCAAGAGTCTTGCAAAACATCTCCTCCCATGGCCTGCATAGAGGCAGGGTATGTTAATTTCTTCTTTCCTGCAGCCATTCACAGGTGGGCAGGGTCAGATTGTCTCCCTGTGAGCTGAACAAAGGAAGGCACTTCAGTTTAACATTCAGGCACAGGGGCAGGGTTCCCTGAGGCAGGCCATTATGTATGGTTATAATAACAAAACCAATGAAAAGTAAAGGTCAAAGAAACAGATCCAGCATGGAGTCAAAATTGGCTCTTCCCTGTTACAGCTTGGTACTGCTTGATTTGAATAATTTTTGATCCAAGTAAACCTTTAAAATTTTTATTGAGTCAGTTTATCTTTTAATGATGTTGATTCCGATCTTTTGCTACTTCATGCAATGCAGAAAGAAACAGCATGTATACATCTTTGCATGACTTGTAAGCAGATGAGGTAGAGGGTCTGGAGAAAGAAAACTACGTATGGCTTTCATGGCATTAGAGAAGGCATTTTGGGCCAAAGCCATTGTGTGATCTCAGCCTGGCCACAATGCTTGTCCTCAGGTCTCAGTAATTAATGATCTTAAGGGAACAAAAGAATGCAGAAACAAACAACTGTTACCAGGCAAGAGAAGTAACAATAGCAAAGAGAATGTATCAGTTGTAAAGACTCCCAGTTCTGCTTCTCTGGTAAAGATTAGCCTGAAGCCTCAACCACCAGATCAACTGGCACCTAAGGGATGATGATGTTGACCTTTTCTGACCTGTGTGACTCCAATCAACTCAAGCTTGTACTCTGTTGACTGCCCAAACCCTTCATAAACATGCACGTTCCCTTAGCTTACAACTTCCCAAATTTTGCTGTTGGAGGAATCACTGCTTTGGGAGATTCCCAGTTTTCTCCTCACTTGCTGCAAGGAATAAATCCTTCCTTCTCCTGAACTTTGGCTTAGTTGTGTCTTTTGGCTTGACACCCACCAAGAGGAGAACCCAGTTTTTCGGAGAACAGATTCAGTAGGCTAAATACCTAGACATAGAATCACAAAACAAGGACTTTGTAAGATGTAAAGATAACCCATATATGAAAGGAGTTGCCATTATTTGGTTTCCACTTTTTTTCCCATAAAACAACTGGAATTAACAGGAACAAAGGAATTTTTGCATAAGTCTACAATCCTGGGAAAACCTACATTTTGTACAGATCAGTATAGCAAGTTACCATTTGTACTTGCCATTAAAACAGTCACCACACTAAATATAATAAAGAAAATCCCAGAGTCCTTCATTTGGGAAGTTTACTACCATAGGCTGGGGCTATATTTGGTGTTACTGTGAATGGATGCACACTGTCTTATGAGTCTGATGATTACGGGAAAGGAATTTTGTGTGTAGCATGTGCCGGGGGTGGAGTTCTTAAAATGAAGCGGGCATACCCAGCCCTCTGATATTGGGCCACTAATTAATTGACTTCACTACCTTCCACAGGCCACATCCCTTGTATGGGTCCGTTTCCACATAAAACATAAAATGATAAGAGTTGGAATGGGAAAAGCGTATTTAAAGTCATAGAACTGACTTAGACTACTTAGATAATGAAGACAGAGAAGAGAAGGGGTCCAGGATCTCAAGAGATCCTACGTTTAGAGGCTGGGAGGAGGAAATGGCAAAGGAGACTGGGGAGTAGCAGGTCCTTGAGAAAAGGTGAATGTGATGTCCCGAAAGCCAGGAGAGGGAAGACGATTAAGGAGTGTGCTAAGATCCAATATTCTGAGCTGAACGCGGAGCGGTCCAGTGACCACTGGCAATATGGAATTGTTGGAGGCTTTGACAACAGCAATTTCAACAAATTAGTGCGATTAAAAGCCAGATGAAAGCCGGTTAAGGAGTAAATGAACAAAATCATTTTTGACGCCTTTATAAACTGCACAAGCTCGTCCCAAGCCCTTAGGTCTCCTAATTCATGACCCCTCTTAGATCTGACCTTCAGAGATTCTAAAGCATTTAACTTGTCCAGTACTTCTCCAGCCTCCGGAGACTGCTCTAAGAATATGAAAGTACTTCGTAAACAAAGAGGCCAAACAAAGGAGCAGGGCAAAGGGGCAGCCGTGGGTTTTCATTACTCTGTTCTATTACTCTATCCCTGTACTGCACTCATTTTGTATTCCCTAGTTTCCTCTATGCTCCTGCAATACCAAATTTTCCAAATGGTAGCCACCCAGTAAGAATTTATCACTCCGTATTTCTCGCCCTTCAGCCCCTGCCCCACACCTCGACCCCTCCCCTCCCCAAGTCTTTAACCAGAGAGGCACGAATTCACCATTCCACTCTGGAAACAAAAAGGGAGGGGCGGGGCGGGGCGGGTCGGGAAGAGGGGAGGGAAGAGGGGAGGGGAGGGGAAAATACTGCGGTTCCTACAGAGGCTTTGAGCGCATGCGTGAGTCCTCCCCCGGACCGTTTGTGCTGCCCTCCTAGGAAGAGGGGTGGGGTGGAGGTTTGCCCGATGGACCGAGTACGGGTGCCGAGCAGGCTCTCACGGAAGTCCATTCGCTATTGGGAGGTCCGCAGTGGCTGCTCTGTGCCCTTGTTGCCGAGTGCCTCTTCTTCGGTCATTCCTGGAGTAGGAGCCGGACTGGGGCTGACACCGGGGCTCCCCCCGGCCGCCTCGGCGCCTGTGTGACCTCCTCGCTGGCGGGATGTGGCGACTACGCCGGGCTGCCGTGGCCTGGTAAGTGCGGGCTCCGACCTGGCCCCGTTATTTCCGGGGCCTCCAGAAAACGAGGTTGTCCCATCACGACATACAGAATGTGCAGGTAACTCTCAGGCCAAGCAGAGAGCAGTTGGAGGATTCCGGGATATTTTTGAGGACCCGGAGTGACAGGAGCCCTGACTAGGCTTACCTAGGTACTGGCCCCTGTCTGTGTTCCCATGCCCCTCGGAAGATTCTGGGCGCTTTTCAGTCTTGGCCTTTTCTATTGTCCTTTTGTGCCTGCCCCTTTCACCCTTCTGTCCTCGCTGTTATCTCTGTCTCTGGTGGCTTCTTGTTTCTGTCCGGGCTCTATGACTCTAACCATGTGTCACCCTTGCCGCGTCTCTTAATTCTCACTGTCTTTGGCTTCTGCCTCCATGCCAGCTTACATTGCTTTTGCAGGTACCTGAGCTCCTCTCTCGGGGTGAAGGGGACTTTGCCTCTTTCCTTAGTACGCTGAGTGAACATGATTTGGAGTCAGATCTGGAGCGGTGACGCATACATGTAGTGTCAGGGATGGTGATTAGAGATATTCTCTAAATAGCAGCTTTTTTCAGTGTTTAGGAAGGGAGACTTGCTTTTTGGATGTGAGGTGGTGAATGTAGCACCACCTTTCTAATCACTGTGTTATTGTTGCCCTGGTCTGTGTTAATCCTAAACCGAAAATCATAGAAGTATTTACATTTCTATGGGTTACTATGTGCATTTTAATGAAATTAAATTTGACTTTAATCTTTATACGTAGCTGTGTTCTAGTATCCTTAGATATCTTCAGGTTTAACTCATTGTTGCAGGCATTTGATGAGAAGTAACATACATCAAGCAAGGTTGGAAAAACTTGGTTTTCCTGAATTAACTCAGTCTCTAAACACCTGTCTTGAATTTTTTTGGGAACGTTTTTAAGTGGTGTAATTTATAGTATTTATAAGAGAGGGGATCCATTTGTTTTGTGAAGGTTAATTTGAATCTAAATTTAGAACTGAATGGCATACAGTAGTTGAAGTTTCAGTCAATTAGAATAATTGAATAAGTTACTTCTAATGTCATGGAATTTTAATTTCTGAGTAAATCCACAGCCCTTGGTACTGAACTAAGTTATTCACACCCTTTTTATTTCTACTCCTCAGTATTTACTGGGGAAATATATCTAATTTTCTTTAAATAAGAAAAGACTTTGCAGAAAATAGCGTACTTTGTTGGAGCAATTAAGATATGTAGGAAAAACTTTAAAAATTGTGTTTCCAACCAACTAATTATCAACTGATAATTGTTTATTCAATTGGATGCTGTCGGCTAAATTGTTTCTAGAGTTACTCTTGACTCTGTAGTCATGACTTAAAATGTCTTACGTTGACAGCACAGATTTAGCTGCCTGCAGAAGTAGAGATGCGTAAGGTCAGATGCCCCAAGTTCTGGAGTTTGTCCTTTGATGTAGTTCCTATGCATGTTATGAAGGAGTACATTTAAATTCTTACTCTTTAATAAATAAACATTCTTTGACATATATATCTAAATATGTGCTCATAGACATGTCAGAAGACCAATGGCCAACATTTATTTAGGTGCAATAAATATTTGCATAAACTTGTTGAAAAAATAATAACATGCTAGGAAACAGTACATAGATTAGAAGGAGATGATGGATGAGTGTGAATAGATGATTTCTGGGGTTGGGGTCGGGGAGCCTTGTTTTGCATCACATTTGATTTTTAGTTTGGTCTAATATATAGAAGTATATATTCAAATTCCTTTTCCACCATTCACTAGTCATTCTACCTTAGGCAAGACACAGTTTAAAAAAAGCAAGTTGGTCAAATAAGGATACTTACCTTACTGGGTTTGTCTGAGAGTTAACAGTAGCATTTGTGTAAACGTGTGACATAATGCCTGGCAGTTAGGTACCCCTTTCCCCTCACTGTGCTTCTTCACAGCATTATTTCAATGTTCCTTGATTCCTTTTCCTTAAGATATTTCTACTCCCGTGTAAATAAATGAATTAAAAATTTATTCTTTAGTATGGGGCCTGGCCCATAGTAAGCACTATGACGGTGTGTTGAATAAGATAATCAGGCGTATGTTTGCTGGTAGGAGACTTTCATTCTCTGCCAGGAAGGACAGGAGGGAAGAGTTCAGATAGTAGCATGTGCATTTAGATTCTTTTCTCTTTGGGGTATTCCCCCACCTTCTTTCTTTCTTTTTCTGGGGAGCCAGGTACATGAGGTGCTAATAATTTTTCCTTAATTTCCATTCCTGGACCATCTCAGGATTGTGAAACATAGATGAGAGAGCAAAGAATAGATGTTATAAGCTACTGGAACTTCTGTGCTTAAAAGTAAAAGTTTACACGCCTTTTTTTGTATAGGTGCATCCATAATTCACACTTATTTTCATACCACCATTTTAGCCTAACATTACATGAAATCTTTTCATATATCTACATGGTCTTCATATTTATCACTATAATGGCTATACACAGTATTCTCAGTATTCTCTTTTGTTTATGTACCATAGTTTATAAATTTATGTTCTTAATATTAGATATTTAAGTGGTAACATTTTTTGCTATTACAGCACATCTTTTCTTCCAGTTTTACTGAGCTATAATTGACATACAGTACTGTATAGGTTTAAGGTGTATAGCATAGTGATTTGACTTATATACATCATGAAATGATGACCATAGTAAGTTTAGTGAACAGCCGTCGTCTCATATAGACACAAAATTAAAGAAATAGAAAAAAATATTTTTTGTGATGAGAATTCTCAGGATTTACTGTCTTAACTTTCATATATAACATACAGCCTGTTAATTGTATTTATCATGTTGTACATTACAGTCTTAGTATTTATTTATCTTAGAACTCTAAATTTGTACCTTTTGACTGCCTTCATTCAGTTCCCCCTTCTGCCACCCCCTTCCTCTGGTAACCACAAATCTGATCTCTTTTCTATGTGTGTTTGTTTGTTTTTGAAGTATAATTGACCTACAACACTGTGTTAGTTCCTATTACACAACATGGTGATTTGGTATTTCTATACCATTTCAAAATGATTACCATGATGAGTTTAGTTCGGATATGTCACTATACAAAGATATTTTGTTTTCAACTTTACTGACAGCAAATAACTGTCAGTAGTTAATAAAATAAGTCTCTACCTTTTTTGATTTCAGTTTTGATTTCTTGGACCAGGATCATAGCCCACATATAGTAAATTAGGGGACAGGCTCTGGAGTCCCACTGCCTAGGTTTGAATCCTTCCTTTACTCCTTATGTCAATGGGGACTTCAGCAACTTACTTATGTCTGTCCGCCTTTTCCTCGTTGGTAAAATGGGGACGATACTAGTACTTTTATCATAGGATTATCAGCAGGATCAGATGAGTTAGCTCCTGCTGCAGCAGTGCCTGGCACACAGTAAATGGTTAGTAACTGTGGGCTATCGTAAGACACAGTGTGATTGGTCGTGTGTGCCTGTGTGTTTTCCCTTTTGCATATTGCTCTTTTATATCGTTTCCTTTGCATTGTTTCCCCATCTGATCTTTCCTCCACACCTATTTTTCTTTCAGTGAGGTCTGCCAGTCCTTAGTGAAACACAGCTCTGGAACAAAAGGAAGCTTACCACTACAAAAACTGCATCTGGTTTCACGAAGTATTTATCATTCGCATCATCCTATCTTAAAGCTTCAAAGACCCCACTTCAGGACCTCATTTCAGCAGTTCTCCTCCCTAACTAACCTTCCTTTACGTAAACTGAAACTTTCTCCAATTAAATATGGCTACCAGCCCCACAGAAATTTTTGGCCAGCGAGATTAGCTGCAAGACTCTTAAAACTTCGGTATCTCATACTCGGATCTGCTGTTGGGGGTGGCTATACAGCCAAAAAGGTGAGGTTAACTTTCCTACTGCTTTTCCAGTTATTCCAGCATGATTGTTTTAAAGTTTCTTAGCATATGTCGTTTTTCTTTAGTGCAGTAGAATGTAATTAGATGTTTAAACATTTATTGTGTGTCTCTATTATGTGCTAAATTGTTTTAATGGTGCTAATAGGAAAATGCTCTCTGAATCTTAGTTATTATAAGAGATGAAAATGGCCTAATGGAAGGAGCACTGGTCTGGGAGTAAGAACATTTAGGTTTGATTTTCAGCTTTGCCATTTAGTAGCACAGGCAGGGAAGTAAGTGGCATGCTCATGCAACTACTTTGTGGCAGCTCTGGGACCAAAGGCGGGGTATCCTGATGCGTGGTCTGTCTTCCTTGTATTCCTCGGTGTTGTTTAAAGCCAAATCATGAAACCCATTTGAAATAGGTGTACATTTTGAATTTTTCCATTTTCTGTATTTAGTAAAGGAGCATTTACATGTTTTATATGCTTGTCTGCTAATTTACTTTTTGAAGAGCAGAGGCCACTTTGTTTCTAAAAATTCTGAACATAATACATTGCTCTTAGTAGCTTAGCATGTTTTAACAAAATTAATTTAAATAGTTTTTTAAAATATTTTATATGGCATTCAGATCATTTGATTGGCATACTTTCTTATCTTTCAGACTTTTGATCAGTGGAAAGACATGATACCTGACCTTAGTGACTATAAATGGATTGTGCCTGACATTGTATGGGAGATTGATGAGTATATCGATTTGGGTTTGTATCAACATTAAAATACTTTTCTTGGTTGTATCTTTAGGAAAGAGAAATAGTTGTATTGAGATAGCTCCTTAACTCTAAGTTTAAGGTTGTAGCAGTTTTGTTTTTTTTTTTTGACATCTTTATTGAAGTATAATTGCTTTACAGTGGTCTGTTAGTTTCTGCTGTATAACAAAGTGAATCCGCTATACATATACATATATCCCCATATCCCCTCCCTCTTGTGCTTCCCTCCCACCCTCCCTATCCCACCCCTCTAGGTGGTCGCAAACCACCGAGCTGATCTCCCTGTGCTATGCAGCTGCTTCCCACTAGCTATCTATTTTACATTTGGTAGTGTATATATGTCAGTGCTACTCTCTCACGTCGTCCCAGCTTACCCTTCCCCCTCCCCGTGTCCTCAAGTCCATTCTCTACGTCTGCGTCTTTATTCCTGTCCTGCCCCTAGGTTCATTAGAACCTTTTTTTTTTTTGATTCCATATATATGTGTTAGCATATGGTATATGTTTTTCTCTTTCTGACTTAATTCACTGTGTATGACAGACTCTAGGTCCATCCACCTCACTACAAATAACTAGTTTTGTTTCTTTTTATGGCTGAGTAATATTCCATTGTGTATATGTGCCACATCTTTATCCATTCATCTGTCGATGGACACTTAGGTTGCTTCCATGTCCTGGCTATTGTAAATAGTGCTGCAATGAACATTTTGGTACATGACTCTTTTTGAATTATGGTTTTCTCTGGGTATATGCCCAGTAGTGGGATTGCTGGGTCATATGGTAATTCTATTTGTAGTTTTTTAAGGAACCTCCATACTGTTCTCCATAGTGGCTATATCAATTTACATTCCCACCAACAGTGCAGGAGGGTTCCCTTTTCTCCACACCCTCTCCAGCATTTATTGTTTGTAGATTTTTTTTTTTATACAGCAGGTTCTTATTAGTTATCCATTTTATACGCGTTAGTTTATATATGTCAATCCCAGTCTCCCAATTTATCACACCACGATGTTTGTAGATTTTTTGATGATGGCCGGTTGTAGCAGTTTTATTTTAATGATAAAAGTAATAGAATAGCAGAAAAAAAATTGGTAAGAAAAATCGTCCACTAGTTCATCAGTTTAACACAGCTGCCACTATCCTTAGGGATCAGTTTCTTTTAATGTACCTATTTTGTGTATGTGGTTAATATTTTACTTTCCTTTTTAAGAATTATATAGTCATAGTGAACATACACTTTGCTATCTTGTCTTTTGCTACCTAACACATTTGTCAGCATTTTCTACTCTGCCGAGCAGCCTTCTTGAATATCATTTTCAATGTTGTATGATGTTACCCAGAACAGATGCACTGTGCTTCACCTAACTAGCTCCCTTTGATTGAGTACCTTGGTTACCTCTACTTTTTGTAACCAGATTCCTTAAAAGCCTGCTAGTGTCCAGAGTAATTTCTCCTGTTAGTCTTTCATTGTTCCCTTTTTCAAATAATAGATAGATGAGAAGAAAAGTATATTTGGTAGTTATGATTGCCAGTAACTCATGGTGATCTTTAGAAAAAGATTTTTTTTCTGATGAAATTATTTTCGTCAGGTCTCTTTTTTAAGACTTTGTGTAGACATTTTTTAGACTTTAGCTTAGGTGTATATGGGGGTGGATTTGATCTCTGCATGCACTATTCACAGCACTGTCTTAAAGATAAAATTGTTGCATTGACAAAGATATTTACAGGAAAAGCACTCCTTCAAATTATTTTTCTAACGTTTATGAGAAGAGCTTTTAATGGTATGCATTCACTAATCCCACGTTGTAGTGACTGCAAGCCTGGGTTCTGAAGCTAGACTGTCTAGGCTTAAACGTGACTCCCCCACTTTGCTGTATGTGCAGGTCCTGTTACTTAACCTCTGTGCCCCATTCCTCGTCTGTAAAATGTGGTTGATGAGAACTGTTTTGTAGCATTGACGTGAAGGTTAAACAAGTTAGTGCTTTTATAGCACTTAGAATAAGACCTAATACATATTCTTATTTTGAGAAACTTTGTGTTTTATCTTCTCCAGAGAAAATTAGAAAAGCCCTTCCTAATTCAGAAGACACTGTAAAGTTGTACCAAACTTTGACAAAATTGTTGAGTATTTGTAAACAAAAGTAAATACTTGATAACTTTATAAATAAAGCTAGCAATAATAAAGTAATGGCTTATCTTGAGTTCAGAGACAGTTTTTCTGAAGTGGTAACAAGTGTAAGTCTTCCTAGGGAATACAAAAGGAGAGAGAAAAGTAATGGAATTCTGTTCTTAAACTTGAACTGGGATTTCATCACTTTTTTTTGAATTCAGGTCAGGTGCTACAAAGGATCTTTCTTTTTTCTTTGATTCATTGCCTTTCTGCTGTGACTTCCTCCCAAAAAATACTTCTGTTTCCAATCCAGTGTTAACATTTATACAGTGTTTCTGTCTCAAGGCATTTAACTTATAAATCAAAGATAACCCTCTAAACCGTATGTTTGGTGAGTCTTTTTTAAAAATTTTTCATGGCTTGTAGAAGATCATCAGAATAACACATTGTTTCAGATATACGTAGCAGTTATAGTTGGAATAGGGAGAAAAATGGAAAAAAACATTTAAGTTTATATATAATTATTAAAATTGTATGAATGTTTCAATAGTCAAATTCTTATTTTGAGACTATTTCTTTTCTCTTCTCCAGAGAAAATTAGAAAAGCCCTTCCTGATTCAGAGGACCTTGCAAAATTGGCACCTGACTTTGACAAGATTGTTGAAAGCCTCAGCTTATTGAAGGACTTTTTCACCACAGGTAAGGAAGGACGTGTGTTTGATCTCATTTAAAATGTCGGGAAACACAGAGGAAAAATACTTAAAATGTATTCATTTGTTTATTTCCATCTTTTATTTATTTATTATTTTAAATTAACATTTTTTAAAATAAATTTATTTATTTTGTTTATTTATTTTTAGCTGCATTGGGTCTTCATTGCTGCACGTGGGCTTTCTCTAGTTGCGGCGAGCGGGGGCTACTCTTCCTTGCGGCAGGCGGGCTTTTCATTGCGGTGGCTTCTTTTGTTGCGGAGCATGGGCTCTAGGCACACGGGCTTCAGTAGTTGTGGTACGTGGGCTCAGTACTTGTGGCTCGCAGGCTCTAGAGTGTAGGCTCAGTAGTTGTGGCTCACGGGCTTAGTTGCTCCGCGGCATGTGAGATCTTCCCGGATCAGGGCTCGAACCTTTGTCACCTGCATTGGTAGGCAGATTCTCAGCCACTGCACCACCAGGGAAGTCCCTATTTCCATCTTTTAAATGAAAATATTTAGTACAAATAAAAGCCAGGTTTTTGATAAAAGGGTAAACACGAAGTTTTTTTGCTCTGTGGTTTTACTAGTTTTTTAATTTATTTTTATTTTTTGGCAGTGCCATGCGGCACACGGGATCTTAGTTCCCTGACCAGGGTTCAAACCTGTGCCCCCTGCAGTGGAAGCACAGAGTCTTAACCACTGGACCACCAGGGAAGTCCCCGTGGTTTTAATTTTTGTTTGGCCCAAGAAAATGAAAATTTGCAAGAACTTAAACATGCTTGGCTTTAGTCAGTGAGGGAAAAATAAATCACTTGTTCTTGACAAGTAGATGACACTTCCTATGTGTTTGCTGTTCATAATTGGTTAGAGCCGATTTGGTGATTTTAAAACAAATTTAATTATAACGGACCATAATGAGTAGAATTTACTAAGGCTAGTCCTGGTGTATTTGCCCAATTCTGCCCTATCATGATATAAATCTGAGGTCTCAGACATCTTTGTTTGCTCATTGTTAAATTTTACATTTCTATTTCCCCCTTTGCTGATTTTTCACAGGTCACAAATTGGTTAGTGAAGTCATAGAAGCTTCTGACCCACTTCTCTTGTTAGGTGTGTAAACAGATATTTTTGCTGATCTTAACATGCCTTTTAAATGCATCTAATAAACTAGCTGCAAATAAAATTGCAGACCAAATTTATAATATTGCTTATGCTAAATTTTAAAATGTCAGAATTATATTGGGCAAATTCATTATCCTTTAGGTGGAAATAATAAAATAACTTTTTTGTGGTAAAACTAAAATTCCTAAATATGTGTCTATATTATAAGATTAAAGCTATTAAAAAGAAAGTTTGGTTAACCAAAATATTTTCTTGAACCTGATGTGTTTGTTTCTGATAATTGAAATGAAAGTCATTTTAATTTGTCTCATCTTGACAAATGTCTCATGTCACAGTTGACATTTTTAATTTAATTTTTTTACTGTATATGGCCTGTAATGGCAGTAGTGTATGGCTGAACTGTAAGTACTCTCATGTAAAATAATCCTTATCAAAGATTGCCTTATTTTTTATTGCAATTTTCAGTGATATTTTAAGAAATCAGTTAAACATGTCCTATAATGGTTTTGAAAATTTTTTTCTTAGCTTACCACTGTGTTCCTTAAAATAAGAATAGCTTTCCAAAAAGTGATTTTTGCTCTAAAAATCCTTTTATCTCTCAACCGACTAAACATAATTTGGAATTTAGTTTAGGCTATTGACTTCACTGGAATATTTAAAGGACTGCATATTTATCTTTAAGGTTCACCTGGAGAAACGGCATTTAGAGCGACAGATCCCGGGTCTGAAAGTGACAAGCCTTATAGAAAGGTACGTATAAAGGAGCATTCTTCACGTAGATAGTCTTGAAAGATTTTTTAAAGTTTTTACCTACCCTGGAAGATCTGAAAATGGTAGCATCCGAGAAGCAAACATAAAAGCATCCAGTGGAGATATTGTTATTATTCTTGGTACAAAATGCAAGGTATTATTCAACAGTTCTGGAAATATAATTGGAGAAGCCAGTTTCCCTCAAATATGTCTGTGAAATATTAGTTTCCAGGGTTGTCCCCAACAAAGGGTTTTGTTGTTAAGTATGTGTGGGGGAAAGCTGGTATAAATAAAGCAAGCAGGCTTCTTTTCTTTTCCCTAGGATTTCTCAGACCTTAATATATGCATGTGCATTGTGAATCTCTAAGAGAAGTCAAAGTGTGCAGGGTTTTCCAGATTTATTTAGCAACAAAACCCTTCTTCCATGAAATACCTTCTAGGGACTAATGTTTCATGGCATACAGTTAGGGGAAATATTAAGGGAACAGCAAGTTTGTTACTAAGGGATAAATAGACTTCTGTTACATTGCTAGTCAACAAAATTATGTATGGGGTTATTTAGGATATGTTAATTTCAATTCATGCATTAAAACCCGTATGAAACTTTTAGGAGAATTGCTGATGTAGAATAACGTGCATTTTTGTGTATTTATATTAATATGTTAGCCTGATATTGTCTTACTCTTCATTTTTTTCGTCTTTTGAAATTGGCAAGATAACTGATTCCTTGGAAGTTTTTTTTTTTTTTAATAATAACCTAGATAAATAAATATCTGGAAAAAATACTCCATGAACATTTAAAAATTCAATATGAACATTTAAAAATTAAATGATGAAGGTTATTATGGTTTTAAATCATTGAGGTAAATAATTTTATGTTTTTTGGGGAAGCAGGAAGAAAGTAATTCCTATGTGTAGATTTCCATCTTGTTTCCTGTCCTTCAACTTTGAGCTTTTTACATGATATTCCAAGTTTTAATTATATTTCAAAAGATTTTTTTTCTTTTGTCTTTTAACTTGATCTTTTGGAGAAAACATTTTTCAAAATGTATGTGTATACGTGTGTGTGTTTGCCTTTTAACTTGATCATTTTTGATACCTTTTCCACTGGCATTATTTTAACCAAGGGATACCCTTGACTATACATGCTACTGGAAAGAAACATTTGAATAGAAATTAGCCTATGATGCACAGCTTATTTTGAGCCAAGCCCTTGGCCCTTAATGCAGATAGACTTAATGTGCAGAGAAAAGCTAATCTAACTGGGGAGAAGGAACCCCTGTTACAAGTATGGTAGTATGGTTTTTGAGCGACAGGATTTCTTGTTGCCTAGATCAGTTAAGGGAGGCTTGCATCTCTGTTCTTTTCTGATATGGCCTAGGATTGTTTTGGTAAATGAGAATCCTGTTTAGGGCCTGACAGATAATTCCCTTAAAATCCTGCTAAGGTGATAAATGAGTAGTAACTGATAAATGATCAAGAGCTCTGCAGTATAGAAGAAACAAGAGAACTGATCTCTGGGAATTTATATTTACAGATTTTATTTTATACAGTAGACATGAGAGCAAATTTATTGCTTTATTTTATAATTTACTTTGCTTGAAGATAAGTGCTGTTGTAGACTGTTTCTTTTTAACTTTTCCATAATTTATGGTGATTATCTTGCCCATTAAAAATGCACCAATTATTTCCAACTGTTTGTTATAAATTAAGCTGTTTTCATTATAGGTTAAATCAGATAGTATTAAATGCTAGTATAAATGTTTACTATACAGAAAAAGTATTTTCAACCTCAACTAGTGGTTTTAAATTTTATTAATATGCAGCATTATGTTTTCAAGGCTTGACTGTTACCTGTGATATTTGAAAATAATGAACTACTCAGACAAGATGCAGATAACTGATTGTAAGAGACTTGTCTGTAAATTGGTGGTTGAATGTAAGCATGGAAAGGGAGACCTTAGCAGAAGCCTTTTTGAAATTATTCTAAAGCATCAAATTTGAAAATTTGGGCAATAATCAGAGGTGGTAGGATGGCATCCAGAGTTCAGGTGATACCTTTTTGATTGGTTCAGTCTGGTGTTTGAGAGCCCCAAGATTTAAAATGGTGTTCATGCCTTAGCTTAATGATTGTTGGGTTTATACCAAAGTTTCTGGCTAGACTTCTATTAGAAATGTAAAAGTAAATGTGAATCAGATTTTTTTAAATGTAGTAATAAATTAAAAACATTTCGACTAGAAGTAAAAAGAAAACTTGTTCTTTCTAATAAGAGAACACATCTGGAAAAGTGCTGGCAAGTAGAGGGACAATCAGGAACCTTTCTAAGTCAACTGAAGTGAAAGTGACAGGGAGTTGCAGGAACACAGATGCCAGATTGACTTGAGTCAGGCAGAATGAACCACACAATAGACAGATTACCTGTGGTTCCCAGTCTGGGGTCACTGGACTTTTAGGTGTTCTGGAAAGTTGTGATTGAGGTCTTCAAAAAGTCAAAAAGCATCTGTTCCCACATAATGCTACACAGGCTAACTAAACCTCAAGTTTCTTTGATTTTGCCTGTACTTATATCCGTTCAGTTTGTGGACAGTAATGTTTATCAAAAGTTCTTCTACGTATTTTTGATAAATAAAAAATGGAAAAATACTGAAACCACATTTTAGTAAATGCTTTTAGTTAGTCAGAAATTTTTAAACTTGTGTTCACTATAGAAAAATATTAGAAAGAGCCCTTAGTGTGACCTGAATAATATTCTTGAGACCTGGAGACCTTTAGAACTACCTGAAGACAAATTCGGAATTGGAGTGGCAAGCCTTTTTTAGTGAATTAATGGACTCACCTGGTTTGTAAGTCAGTAGATTTCTGTATCTCAGTCATAGTATATATAGGCGACAGGACCACTTAGTGTATCTCCTTTTTTTAGATTCAGTAACATTGTTGTGTTCTAGTGAAAATTAATTTGCTAAATGAGACATTATCTGTGCTTTTGTTCTATCATGTTTCTGATGGCTCATAAACATCTCATAGAAGTAAGGAATATGGTCATTCTGAAGGGTACAAGCCCATTTATAATTTATAGAAAATATTTGAAGTCCAAATCATAAAAAGTATTGTTACTCTTTTAAAAATAATCATTAAATAGTAATTATCTTCCTTTCCACATTACTGTAATTCTTATTTGTGTGGCTTTACTTATTTTATACCTACCCTCTGAAATATCTCTCTTCCCTTTTCTCTGCCTAATTTCCACTCATCCTGAAAGCCCAGTTCATTTGTCACCTCTGTGAAGCCTTCCGTAACCATTTTAGTCCCAATAATTATTCTCTTAACAATTTAAAACATTTCACAGATGAAACACTATTTACTTTGGCTTTCATTCTTACTGTTTAATAGGCTATTTCTATCACAAAATCTCTGTTCTCAGAGCGCCTAGGATAATGCTGAACTCTTAACACAATTCATCAGTTGATTTAACTCAGTAAAAGTCTGATTTAAAGTAAGCAAATTTGATTAATGCTAACAAGAGTGGGCCCAAAGATTTTATGTAATGTGTCTTTTTGCTCTGATTACCTTTGAGTTTCTCCTGGCCTTCAATATTTGACAACTATTGAGGAGAGCAAGAATGTGAAGGTAGCACTTATACTCGGAATTCTGAGTTGTAACAAAGCAGTGTTGCTTAAGTAGGACTTAACATTTCTGGGATTCCTCATGCAACAAATAATGTAAACTGTGGCAAAATGAAATTCTCACAACCAGCACCATCAAGTAGCCGCAGATTCAGGAAACTTAGGTTTCCTAAGCAGCTAACAATTGGCAACTATACTTGGTTAGATACTTGTTTTATTCCTTAATAATAAGCATATTGCCTTTTTATGTCATTTAAAAAACATTAAATATATACTGTGTACATAACACTATTTTTAGATAATAATTTAGAACAAAGGGGATTTGGTAGAAATTGTATTATCGATAAAAACTATTGGTAATAGACTGATTTGTTCATCTCTTGAAATTAATTATTTGTAGAAATTGTCCAAATAGGATGCGATATTTCTCAGTTGGAGCAAATTAAATAATTCAAGTAGAAAGACATACTTCTTTCTGATATCCAATAATAAACATATTTTAGTTGGCTGTAAATATCTTGAGCTGAATTATATATTACTGGGAGGGACGAAAATAGGAAAATAGATCTTTTTAGCTAATGAAATAGCAGAATTATTCAAACTTTGAAAAGTAGTTTAGTGCCTAGGAATATTTTTTAAGTGGAAGGGGAAAGAAGTCTTCACTTTCACGAAGTTCTTTTCTGGACCCAAGTTACTTTTAAAACTAATAAAACGGGTTGGCAAGCTTTTCCTTAGAGGCCAGATGGTAAATATTTTAGGTTTGCAAGCCCTGTGGTCTCTAGGACTACTCAGGTAGCCCACTGTACTTTGTCAACTCCTTCTCTAAAGAGTAATTTACATTTGCCCTCCGAAATATTGCAGTTTTACCATTTTCCTTATTTAAATGTAAATTGAACGTGAAGGGTCAAAGGCACTTTGAAAATAGTGAGACTGTAGAGCTAACAGGTATCAGGTGTAGACTTTGGAGTCACACTGCCTGTGTTCAGACTCTGTCCTTCCTGTTTTCTGAGCTCTGTGACCTTGGATAAGTTCCTTAGCTTCTCTGAGTTTCTGGTTTCCTCTTCAGTAATAGGGGGAACCCTACCTGATAAGGGTTATTGTGAGCATTTCGTAAAGCCCTTTAGCACAAGATCTTGGCACATGATAAAACTAAATGAATATTAATGTAATGATAATAATAATGATTATTATCATCTAACACTTAGAATTATTCCATGAGTTAGCATATTAACATTATTTGATTAATTTCCTCCCCTTTTCTTAATTCCTGTTGAATCTGTTCTGGGGATTGTGATAAGTGGGAAAATGGACTGTAGGGTTGATGTGTAGCTTATTTACAGAATAGGCAATTTTTAGGAAACCCAATTTGGATTTTGTGCTGTAAACTGTGTGCGTTTTTAGGTAAAAGTAGGTTATCATTTAATTCATTCAAGCAACAGACATGGGCCAAGCCCTATCCTAGGTGCTGGCCGTAACACATCTGAAGTGTCAGGCCTTATTCTGTGTGTTAGGTATAAAAACAAACAAGGTATGGGCCCTTTAGAATACTGTTAAAAATATAGTATTGGGTTGGCCAAAAAGTTCGTTCGGGTTTTTCCATATCTTACAGAAAAACCCAAACAAACTTTTTGGCCACCCCAATATTTTATTTTATTTTATTTTATTTTTTTGGCCATGCCTCCCGGGTTGTGGGATCTTAGTTCCCCAACCAAGGATCGAACCCAGGGCCCCAGCAGTGAGAGCGCCAAGTGCCAACCACTGGACTGCCAGGGAATTCCCAAAAATATAGCATTTTAAATGTATTCACATAAGAATGAGTCATAATTTCAAGATTTTAAAAAATATTTTCTAACAAGCTTATCAACTTCTAGAGGTATTTGCAGCATTTTCAGTTGACATTTTGGTTTCTGGAGTTATCACTGATTTTCTTGGTCTGACGTTATACTTTTTTAAAAACCCGAGAACACTGTACATGAAATATGGGACTATGAGAACTGCAGCGTCAAATTGACAGTAACCAGGAGATGTTTAGAGAGTATTCATCTGTGGTTGTTTACAATAACTATTGTTAAAGATCACAATTAGTACATTTTTAATGTAATATATATCATTTAAAAAACAATTATGTGCTGTTTCTTGAGAGAAGAATGTCTGAACTTGGGAAAATATTTATTGAGTAAAAGTGTTCTGTTCATGTAAGGAGGCATGAACAAATGCCTCATCTTGCACAGGAGGCACACACATTTATCCCTTCCTTATACCACAAGCTTTAGCTTTAAAAGCTAATCCAGCTGTGCTTAGGGTGAGATTTGATGCCTAAAGTTGGATAATGGTAACCTTTTTTAGTATAGTGTATATAGCTTTTTCTGTGTCTAATTCTTGTTTTCTTCGTACTTTTTTTAGGAGGTAGCAGTTAATTTCAACTACCTTCACATAAAAGTGCTTCAGTAACAGACTTGGAAGGAAAGTGAGGTGTCACTAGAAAGAGAGGGTGTTTTTCTTGTAATAGATATTAGATATTTACCATACACTTTGTATGTACATATAAACAGTGGATTAGGGAGGGGTGTTTAAGCTATGAATAAACAAGAATCCTGTGCCGGATAGACCAGCACAGTTAAGAAATGTGGAATATTTTCTCACTGCTTTAGCATTTTATAACTTATACTGCTGGGTATTATGTTAATTAAAGCACAGGTACACTCATGTGTAAGCCAACGTGGGAAGCCATCTTTAAAAGGGAACTGTTTTGAGAAATCTAAACACTTGGATGAGTAGAAGAAGTGATTGTGATAAATGACTAAATGAATAAAAATGAGTTGGATTACTTTTCTTTCTGCTTGATGAAAGGCAGTGATACAAAAAATGAAAAAAAAGGACATAAAAAATTATGGGAATGATGAGGGTAGTGAGTTGGCATTGCATTTCTTTGATAGATTTATCAATGACCATAAAAGTGTTTATTTAAAAGATACATGTTAAAAGATAACCGCAGGTTTTTATAAATAGATTTTGTACTATTGAATTTGGAAACAAATGTTGAAAGTTTAGTTATGTTACTTGCCACTTTGATGTTCTCTTACTTTTCATGAAGAATTATCAACTAGTTTCATCCTTTGATTTATATAGTAAGTCAACCAGTTTCATTATGTTGGTATAACTTAATGTATTAAAACTAAGAATCAAACAAAATAAAAATCCCCCTAATTGTTTGCTAATATTTCCTTTAATTTAAAGTGCTTTACTGTAATACAGCTTTTCTATTTGTATTTATTTCTTTCCTGGTAAACTTTTTTATTTATATAAATCTTTGGATTATATAAACTAAGTTATTAAGCCTCCAGGTGAGTCTACTAATTAAAATTTGAATGTAACGTTAACCAAGATTTCATTTTAAGAAACTTTATAATTGTACTATACAAAATAAAATATTTTTGGCAGTTATTTTATAAAGCTGTGAAGCTATTTGAAACTCCTAATGAGTGTTAGTTTTCCTAATTCTTTTTATTATTATAACTTGGTAAAAATTGTTCTCCCAGGTAAACTATTCTTGTACAAATTAAAGAGTGACCTCATTCATTGGAACTTTGCCTTTTTAGGGTTTCTAATTGAGAAAATATAAGGTTCCTGGCATTGTCAATTGCTAGTTGTTTTTTCTCCTACATTTCTTGAGGTTGATTATCTAATAGACAGCAATTAAAAACACTGTACAGAAAATGACATGTATTTTCGTTTCATGTCACAAGTGAATACATTGCATCAGATGAACATTTCATGATTATTAAATGGAATGAATTTTAAGCATAGAAATGATGATTATTTTGTGCATAGGTCCAAACTGGGTTTTGTTTCATTTTTATTTTCATAGTAACTACATTATCTCCATATCTTAATTATTTTATTGAGCTTGTGCTTTAGTAATTGATATATCCTTGGTTATATTCTCAGAGGCCATTTTTATTTAATGTCAAAACAGCTTATAAAAAGTGAAAATTCAGTCAAACTACTTATTTGATGTTGTATAAAGCTAAAACAGTACCTCAAACATTATTTTTTAATTTGCAAAAAAAAGAAACCCGTAGATTTTAATCAAATAAGATTCTGTGCGTAGACATGTAAAATTATGAATTAATGTAAAACCTTGATTAACTTGATGCTCAAAACGACGTTTTGAGGGATCTTTATTTATTTACTTTTTGGCCACGCCATGTGGCATATGGGATCTTAGTTCCTGGACCAGGGGTCAAACCCACGCCCCCTGCAGTGGGAGCTTGGAGTCTTAACCACTGGACCTCCAGGGAAGTCCCTTGAGGGGTCTTTAATTGAAGACATCAGATGTCAAGGAAAACTTAAGAATAATAATTTAGTAAGTGATTAAGCTATTATGTATTCTCTATTTAGTCTTATGAAACTTATGGTTGAGAATTAGAAGATTCAGACCTTTGAAATCAACACTGTTCAAAACTCAGTTTTGTTTTTTCCCCCATATGTATCAAGTCAGGAGCGTACACTAGTTCGTATTGGCAATTCAAAAATAAGGGTTGAAGTATTTGTTTTCTCAGCTTTTCTGTTACTAGGACATTTAGTTAACTATAGTGCCACCTTCCTTGAGCATTCCAGTTAGTCTCGGTTTTACTGTATGTTGATATTATATATCTGGCTCGTTTTATTCAGCAGTCACTTATTGCATTTTCCTTTTCACTTATTAAACTATGCTGTTTTATATTTCTGAGACATAATTTTACTGAGGAGAAAAATGGAAATGTAGTACAGAACCCAGTTATATAGTGGCTCTAAAGGTACATAACTGAGTTTCCATTTTTGTTATAAGCTATCCATTCTTCTCTGACTTACATCTGTTCCTTTCTTGTGCCCTTTGGTTTAACATTGTTCTCCTCCCCAATTTTCCTCTTCTCCTCGTTGTAAACTCATGGCAGGGTCTGCTTGGTGAGCTCATTCTCTTACAACAGCAAATTCAAGAGCATGAAGAGGAAGCGCGCAGAGCCGCAGGCCAATATAGCACGAGCCATGCCCAACAGAAGCGCAAGGTGATGGATGGTTTAAGGGGGCTACTGATACGTTCACACTAATCAGCCATTTCTACCAGGATCGTGTCACCGTAATCCGTTCATGGACTCCAATTATGAGAAATTATTTTTGACAAAGTAAAAATACGAAAGATAATAGAGATATGCAACTTTTCTAGAGTAGGTAAATCCAAAATATTAAACATAGGAATTTATTTTCTGAAAATTAGATTATCTGTGAGGGTTCATGGATTTGTACTTAGATAAGAATTACGAATTGCAGCTTACTTGGTCCAGTTATTGAGTCACCTTAAATTTGTAGCCAACTTGTCTATTCTCCAAGTTTTCATTTGTAAAATGAAAAGGGTTACTGTGAATGACCATGTTAAATTAAAGAATGAAATGTATTTGTTTTAGTTAAAATGAATCAGCAGAGAATTCTTATTTCTTACAGAAGGAAACTATTTTGACTTAACTTTGGGGCAAAGTTATTCTTAGATACTTTGATAAATTTGTACAAAGATTTTCCACATTTATTAATAAAGTCAGCACAGATTTTCACCTTGTCTACTGCAGGATTGAACATTGGAAATTTGATATGATTCTGGTCAATAAAGAACAGATTCTGATAAAACTCAGCATAACAGTATACAAATGTTTGGTTATAGGAGCAACCAAGGAATCCTTAAAGATATACTTTTGGCTGTTAGATGATCCTATAGTATAGATCCCAAGGTTAATGTTCTAAAGAGACTAGAGTCAAATGAACTGTATGTAATGATTTTAAAATTATACTCTAGGATCTTGAAATCAGCTATTTGTGTTACATATATTAGATAAAAAAATTTTGGAGTTAGGTGCAAATCTTACTCAGGAAAAAAGATTCAGTCATATAATTAGCTTCCTGTAGGTTCTGATATTGAAATCAACCAATATTATAGATAATTAGTGGAATAATTCTGCTGGCTAACCCTGTCGCATTTGGTGGTGGTTAATACTTGAGAATACTCATCATAGTTTTCATTTATTTTTTCAGTATCACTACCTGGCTTTTCTCAATTCCATGGCTGTGGAATCAACTCCTGTATGTTGTTTAGCTTTCAGTGAATGAATAACATAGGTAGAAATAGAGAACAAGTTATTTTCCTACTTGTGTTAAACCAAGGGAGGACTTATTTTGGCTGTGTTGGGTCTTCGTTGCTGTGCGCGGGTTTTCTCTAGTTGTGGTGAGCGGAGACTACTCTTCACTGCGGTGTGCAGGCTTCTCTTGTTGCAGAGCACAGGCTCTATGTGTGCGGGCTCAGTAGTTGCAGCACCCGGGCCCTAGAGTGCATGGGCTTCAGTAGTTGCAGTGCGTGGGCTCAGTAGTTGCGGTGCGTGGGCCCTAGGGTGTGCAGGCTTCAGTAGTTGTGGTGCGTGGGCTCAGTAGTTGTGGCTCACGGGCTCTAGAGAGCAGGCCCAGTAGTTGTGGCACACGGGCTTAGTTGCTCCGCAGCATGTGGGATCCTCCCAGACCAGGGATTGAACCTCTGTCCCCTGAATTGGCAGGCAGATTCTTAACCACTGTGCCACCAGGGAAGTCTCAAGGGAGGGCTTACTTTAAATGGTGCTTTAGCATTCTCTGTTCCTCATGCTGTTGAGAGTACCATTTAAATATTGTAACAAGTTGGATGCTTAGGCTAAGCCCTCTGTTCCTTAGCTTTGTTACAGAAAGAAGGGGAGGGAGCTACTGTGTTTTGGTACGTTAGTTAGGAATATGAATATAACTCTAGTTACTAGTAGTTCTTGTTTTTTTCATAATGGTAAAATAATTTGCAATGAGTCCCATAGATCTGCTATTTTAAGATTCTAAGATACAGTTGAAGATTATTGATGTGCTGTTGAATCTGATGATTTAAGCAATATCAGTAGTGAATATTGTTTATTTTCTACACTGCCAAGGGTTAATGTTCATTTGGGGCCAACTTCACTAGCCTTTTTTCAGGCTTACGGTTATTCTTCCTATTCCTAATATTTATTGGATTATCCATGTAACCCTTTTATTCCTCACTTTACACATTTGTAAAAGAGCTACTGGCAGGACTGTACCTCCATCTGTTTTGTTTATTAAGGCATACTTAGTAGAGCACGAAACAGGGCTTGTTCCTGCCCACTTTGCAGTTACCTTGTATGAAAGTAAATGAGACTAAAAACAATTTATGCTCCTCTATAATAATATCATTCCTTTTACTGTCCTTAAAGATGGTTTCCTTACTGTATCTTCCCCTTTATTCCCCCTATAGTTAGTACACAGATGACTTTTCAGCCCTACATTGTCATAATGACCAAAATCCTAATTTGATGAGATTTTTATCATTCTAAGCATTTGAGGTTTGCTTGAGGTACAAAGCCACAGCTACTTTTTGTTGCTTTTTGACCATTATTTCTTATTACACCTTGAAAATATAAGTAGGCCTTCATTATTTATATCTTATTAGTAGCAGCTAATAGATTTACCCTGTATCATCTGAGCAAAGGAGCTCATGCAGAGACAGCAGATTAAGACTGCCATTGATAGGTTTGCCTCCTGTGAATGTGTACACATACATAAAAATTTTTACGAGTCTTATGCATTTCTGTATTTCAGAATGTCCAGAATTGCTTAGTAGGAAGAAATACTTAAAATTTAAAAATCAGGCTTGGTTTTGTGAGGAGCTAGTAAAGGTTTTTCTCTTTCAGCTTTAGCTTGTTTCTGCAGAGGGTTCCGCTCTTTCTGAAACATCAATTTTACAGCCCTGGAATTGTAGAAAAGCTCTGGTTTCAAGACTATTGATACCCATTTCTGTCAGGGTGAGTTTTAAATTAATTTCATAATGAAAACTAAATATATTAAACAGTAGGACAAGAACTTACTGTAAGTAGCTGAATTTTACCAGTAAAGTGCATCAAAATAAAATATACCCAGGTTGCTAGTTAAGACCTCAAATAAATGATAGACTAACAATAGCATGTACTTGTCTCTTAAGAAAATATGTAAAAGTATCTTATCATTAATCTTTAATATTTATTTTGTGAACCTAAATGTTTTGATTTTATTTCCTAGAAAATATTAGGTCTAATTCTTGATTCCACCATCACGTGTCTTTTATATAATAACATTAATCTTTTAATTTAACATTAAACTAAGCAGATAGGAAGTGTATTGGTAAAACTGCATGAGTTGTTCCTAACAGTCATGCCAGAAGGGCACATGATAAATTTAAATATTCCTAAGAATCCAAATTTATGAAAATCTTAACAGTCATTGTACTAAATACTAATATTAGCACAAAGATTGTATTTGTAATGTTCTAATAACCTTATACCATTTTAACTCTTTATATATCCTTTTTATTTTACCAAATTATCAAGGTAACCTTTTATAGTCCTTGGCTTATAGTAAACATTCTAACTTTGTGTAATTGTATTAGTTTCTTAATTATTGCCCCAGATATAGAGAAATGTCGGATTTTCTACTGTAATTTATATTACATGAAATCATTAAATAGTCACATCTAAAACTAAAACAGTTTATACTAATATTGTTTATACATTTCATACTAATTTAACTGCATTAGATGAATAGTTAATGGAACAGAGTAAATCAGAGAAACTTTCAAAATGAATTGGGAATATAATCTGCATAACAAAATTTTTATGACCATACTATCACAATATGATGGCATGCCATTTGGTCAAAATATGGAATTATTTATTTCTTCACTGGCCTTTAAGATTTTGTTCTTTGGGTTGTGGGCTCCTCCCCAATGTGCTTGTTTCCTCACATTTTAGGAGACGATTAATAATTCTTGTCCATTTTACAAACACATAGTCAAATGAAAAACACTTATATCCACAAGTTTCTGGCGAAGTTTGTTTTATATTATCGTTTTTCTAATTACCAAACCAAATTTAGAATTTTTAGACATAGGCTTTTTAGGAAAAAATGATACATACCTATCATTTCTAACAAGTATTGTCATTTTTATTTAAAAGAATTTTGAGGGGGCTTCCCTGGTGGCGCAGTGGTTAAGTGTCCGTCTGCCGATGCAGGGGACATGGGTTCGTGTCCCTGTCCGGGAAGATCCCACATGCTGCGGAGCGGCTGGGCCCGTGAGCCATGGCCGCTGGGCCTGCGCGTCTGGAGCCTGTGCTCCGCAATGGGAGAGGCCACAACAGTGAGAGGCCTGTGTACTGCAAAAAAAAAAAAACAAAAAAAAAAGAATTTTGAGGGAAATTTTGATAAATTATTTGGAAATAGAAATTAAACTCTCAAAATAACTTTATTGCATGGATGAAAGTTATTAACGTCTACCTCAATAAACAAATCATTTAGAATGTTTTCATATATATTTGCTACCATGATGTCTTGACTGCTTAAATAGCCAATGAATAAAGATGAATAAAGATTTACATGAATTTTAACTTGATTTTTGTCTCCTGTGGAATAAAATCATCTCTAAAAAGTTTGAGTATCAGAAATTAGATAATTATTTTGAAAGACTGAGAATGACAACTTCGGCATCTCACCAGGGAGTCAAAGTACAGTTACATGTATTTGTCATAAATGACATCATTTTAATTACAGTTGATTATTGTGTTTTATATTTGGAATTGTGACTACTTTAAAGCCTGTTATAAAGTTTTTTGTTGTTTTGAATATTTTATCTTAGAAATATTAGCATTAATAACAATTCGGAGTAGTTTCCCCAATACCTGTGGATTTTATCCTACTTTTGTTTTATGTTGAAATCAATTTTAGTTGCTTTACTCAACTTCATTGCTCCTGATGCATTCGCTTTATTATGGGTTAGCAGATCTTGCATTGGAACTGAATTTAAAAACAAGCATCTGGCTCCACTTAAAGCTCTGAAAATGCAAGTTGTTCTTTGCATTTATTAAACGCTTTCCTACTTACAGAATAGAAATGGATAGTGTTTGCTTAAAGATACACTATGACCAGTGAACTTTTCAGTAGCTGTAAATGATAACATGTGTCTGACTTCCCGAAACATTTCTGTAAGGATATTATTGCCTTATTTGTCCAAGCATCCAAGTCCCTGTGCTTGAGTACAAAATAACCTATCAAGAATATAGTAACCGTATGTGCTGCTTTCTTATTTTTCTAACAAGCCAACCATATATGACTAGAATGGCAATAGGAAGACGGTTGCTTTTTAAGGTTTTCACTTAATATAAAATTTTGATGAGCTATTTTTATTAATGAATAAGATATTTTTACTTAAATAAGCATTTGATTTAAAATTTGCTTTGACTAAATATCCATATAAAGCCAGTAGTTTTCACTCTTAAAAATGCTTTTTTAAAAACATTAACTTACTGTATATTCTATATAAACCTAATTCTACTCAAATAAAATTATTTATTTTAAACATTTAGGTGTCAGACAAAGAGAAAATAGACCAACTTCAAGAAGAGCTTCTGCATACCCAGGTAATTCTGATGAGTAAAAAGAACCAGAAAGTTTTTCTTAAACTCTAAGTTTGGTGGTATGGAAATTTATCTTTTTAACAAAGCAAAATTTAGAGTGGCTTAATGATAGAACCTTATTATTATAAGTAGATGCTCCGCAAAATGCAAAAACTAATTGAGAAGGAATAATGAAGGAACTTGATAAGTTTAATTAACTAATTTATGAAGTGACCTGTCCTTATATAAATCTATGTTTGCAATTTTACATTGATAGGCTAATTAAGTAACAGTTAAAGAAATTGGAGTTGAGTCTACCACAGTTCTTCTCTGAAGCCCAAAGCCAATCAGATAATAACCTTTCCAAAGGTATTTTTAACACTACTATGAAAAGTTATTCTCTTATAATTGATGATAACAATTATCATTAAAGACTTTTTCTGTGCAATGTAATTGAGTAGGTAACATTCTAGTGAAAAATTGCCCCATCACCCACTCTGTCTTTAGTTATTCTATGTAGATACAATGACATGCAATAATTAAGAATAAATTAAAAAGACTTATTGGGTCTCTCTTTTTAGGGGAAAAAAATACAAGGACAATCTAGATGAAATTAGGAACTAGTATATTTTGAGTCCCAGGTTTTCTTAATATCTATGCATTATTCTTACACTTGACTATATGTTAGAATAGCGTGTGCTCTGAGCAGCACTGTATATATTTGTTATGGCTTCCCAGCCAGGTGATTACAATCTACAGCCAGGGATTAAGAATCGTTGGCCTCAGAATGTGGTCTCTGCAGCATTAGCATCAGTGATGTCCTTTGGGAACTTGTTTGAAATGCAGATTATTGGTCCCATCCCATCTGCACTGAGTGGGAAGCTCTGGGTGTAGAACTGAGCAATCTTTGTTCTTAAAAACCCTGAAGTGATTCTGATGAATTCTTAAGTTTGAGAATTACTGGTCTAGACGTCTTTGCAGGATGACCCAGCAGCACATCTCTGTAGGAAGACTGCAGATTGGCACCTGTACTAAAGAGTGTTTCCAGCCCCAGAAAATGTAGACCCCATAATTGATTCCATATTTACCAGGAAGTGAGCCAGTGGAAATCCTACCACCCCTATATATACACCTATTGATATCAACCCTTCAATTTGTACAGTTGTTGTCAGCTGCTAGGCATTGACAAACACTTGATGGAGAGTTCATGATGTAATAATAGCGTTATCTATATCAGTAGTGTCCAGTAGAAATATAATGCAAGCCATGCACTTTAAAATTTTTACATTAAAATAAGGGTGAAAAGAAATAGGTAGAGGGCTTCCCTGGTGGCGCAGTGGTTGAGAGTCCGCCTGCCGATGCAGGGGACACGGGTTCGTGCCCCGGTCCAGGAAGATCCCACATGCCGCGGAGCAACTAAGCCCGTGAGCCATGGCCGCTGAGCCTGCGCGTCCGGAGCCTGTGCTCGGCAACGGGAGAGGCCACAACAGTGAGAGGCTCGCGTACCGCAAAAAAAACAAAACAAAAAGAAATAGGTAGAATTTTGATGTTAATAATAAATTTAACCCAGCAGATCTAAAATAATATCATTTAAACATCTAATTAGTATAAGAAATATTAATGTGGTGTTTATGTATTTTTACTGAATTATAGAAATCTGGTGTGTATTTTATACTTAACTCATCTCCATTCAGGCTAGCCACACTTCAGGTGCTCAGTACCTGCATGTGGCTAGTGGCTACCATCCATATTAGACAGCACAGATCTAATTCTTAGATAACTACCAGTATTTTGTTATATATACTATTACTACAGATAGATGAACAAATTCTGTAAAAATATATTTTTATAATAGAATCTAGCCTGTAGTTCTACCTGTCTCATACTATTACATAATATTTTCTTTAATTTGGCTTAAGCTGGACATTCTCTGAGGATAGAGCCATGATCTCTTGTTATTTACTGTATGCTTGGAAGATTATAACAACCTAACATTTTCTAAGAAATATTTTCCATTATAAGGGTCATGTTATTGTAAGTTGGACATAAACATCCAGTTGGTTATAGGAAAGAGTAATTCTTAATAGTTTTCTGAACATTGTTAATGTTTAGAGAAGAAATAATAGTGTACAGAGAAGACCAATTAGAAAAGGATCACATTTATTCTAGAAGAACATTGTATAGCCAAGCATCTACTTTGACAAAAAAGCCTGTCTAAATGTATTAGTTTTCTTTAAATTGTTCTTATATCAATATTTTAAAAATTAATGTGTAATTTCTGGCCACAGAAACTTACCAAAACTTGGAAGAGTTTGACCCCTCAACTCAGACCTGTATTCAAAACTCTGTGACCTTAGATAGGCTACCAAGCATCCCTGACCTCTGATTCCTAATCTGTATAACCTTTGCCTCACTTGAAGGCTTACGGGAGTTAATGCAGGTCAGTCAGTAAAGGGCCTGTCACATACTGAATAGTCAGGTACTGTTAGCTATTTTTATTTTATATCATTTTTATAAAATAATATGGGGGATGGGGAGAGTTTGAATTTTTGTCAAATGTCCCTTTAATGAAGACTTAAAATTTTGTTGTAATAGGAAATATTGCTTCATAGAGGATACTTAAGAACTTCCTTCTTCAACTCCTTTCATTTTTAGTATTTTTAATAATTTCTTCAACATAAACAGCAAACTTTTCCAAACAAAATTCCAATTGAAATAGAAAACTATAATGAAGCTCATTATTTGAGATAATATTCATAATTTATTTGTTCAACATTTTCATAGATGACTTTTAAATGAAATAATTCATTTTAAGTAGGCAGGAGATACTGCTTCAGGATCTTGGAAGATTTTAATTTACACTTAATGTTATTTTTTAACCCATCTCTTTCTTACAAAGTTATGTGTATTATTTTGTTGCAGTTAAAGTACCAGAGAATCTTGGAACGGCTAGAAAAGGAGAACAAAGAATTGAGAAAATTAGTATTACAGAAAGATGACAAAGGCATCCATCATAGAAAGCTTAAGGTACTTTAAGTTTGTCTTAATTTGTTCGCTCTCAGAACTTTACCACTTCACATTGTGTGTTGATCAATACCGGTTTTTAAGGAACTGCAAAGGGTTCTATCATCCTTTTATTTCTAACCTGATACGCTTAGGGGATAGAGAGGTCTCTTCCTACGTTAAGACTTTTCACAAATTATAATCTTCAAACATTTATTTTATACTATATCCATAAATTTTCATACTTTCAAGAGTCATTTCTTGTGAATCAGTTTATTTTTTCTGAAATATTTAGTTTATCTCTAGGTTTACTTAATTTATACAGCTATAAAACCAGCAGTGTAAGTTGATAGAAAGTTACATATGTCTTATTTTCATTGCCTTACTTGTATTGCCACTCAATGAAGAGGCCACTTCCACCAGTTTTACAATAGTTAATGTTTTCTTCTGGAAGGTTCCTTAGACATTTTAAAGTATTTTTGAAAAAGCATGCTGGTATTGTTATCATCAGCACATTGGTAATTACCATTATCAGTTAGTTAAATCTTATTATTCCCCACTAAACCAACCTTTATGTGCTAAATGAAATTGAAGTAATTCTTTTAACTTAAATGTCATATAAGTAAACAGAATATGTACGTAGCAAAACTGCAGTAAATCATGGCACATTCATTTTGTAGCCAAGGTCCAAAGATACATAGCCCTAGTTTAACCAGCACGTATTAATAGTTGTGACTCCAAATTACGACTGCATAAAACAAATAAATAGCATGGCTTTATTTATAAGTCAGCACATGGCAGATGGAAAAAACCACATCCAAGTGTTAATATATATTGAGAATTATATATATCAACACTGAGAAATTGTATTTTCTCTCATAAAATGAAATGGTAATGAAAATTTCGAAAAGTTTTTTGTTTATTTTTAGGTGGAGGGGATAACAGTTGCTTTCCTTTTAATTATTTCTAGGTGCTGAGAGATGAAAGGCAGTGTAGACCCTCATTTTGTTCCTACTTTGGCACTGAAACTTACCTTTAATTATTAAATGCTTGATAGTAACCTTTTTCCCAGGCCTGTGTATATGTTCAATCATTCCTCAAATACTTGAAGCTTATAATTTTCCAGGCACCGTGTTCGATACTGTTTTTACTGAGATGTCTGCCCCTGGTGCTCTCACATTTTAGTCTGCCCAGTTATCAGTGTACACTAATCATTCATACTGATTTAACAGTAATCTTGGTGATTCTTTCTCTACTTTACCAGTTCTTCAGTCTCTCTTTCTCTCCCACTCTGATGCATACACCAAACATTCCTTTCAGTTGGTCACCTGACCCCTTATTGGGCGTTTTTTGGTGTTAATGGTCTTCCTTTGTTGGGCACTTAATGTTAGCTCTTCAATATTAAACAATAACCTTCTTCTTTTGCCATTTAATTAGAAGGTTCGGAAATCATGAATTAATATACTGTGTTAAATCACTGTCTCTTTAAAATAAATTTGATAAGAACATATGGAATTTTATTCTGTATTGTTTTACATTTACTAGGAATATTTATTTGCATAGCTAGGAAAGGCAATACAATTATGGAAACATTTTGAATGTATCAGCTCTTTTATCGACACATCTGTGGTTTTTTAAAAATGTTTTCACTATTTTATATTATTAATTTCTTGAATTTTATAGAAATCTTTGATTGACATGTACTCTGAAGTTCTTGATGTTCTGTCCGATTATGATGCCAGTTATAATACACAAGATCATCTTCCAAGGGTAAGTAAAAAATTAGTACACAGTGAACTTGCCCATTAGCAAAAAGGCACTGTAGTTTTTTAAAAAGTTACATACATAATACATACACATATGTATAGACATAGACAGACATAAAATTTTCTGTATAATATTCATGTGTTCTAGGTGATGCCCTAAGCATTGAATATTGTTTGACTCTTTATTTTGGTCCATTGGTTTACGTATATTTATGCATAATAAAGTAAGGCTTTCAGATATTTGGCATTAGGTATTCATGATATCCATGATATTAAAATACCTGAATGGTGGATAAGATTAGGTACATGAGTGAAATTTAACCATATAGAATTGAAAATGTCTTTGTAAAGAGTAAACTAGCTATGGAAAAGATTTGTGGAATATTAATGTTAATGTGGTTTTAAAACTAGTGGTTTAAATTAGCATAAGTTTTTAATAAAAATTTGGCTGTAAATAATGGATCCAGTTAATGTTTTCAATACACATGAATGTATGAACCATCATTTTTTTCTGGATGATATTTTAAAATCATTTAATTGTGGATAATTTTTAAGACTAAAACTTCTCAGCAGCATTCCAAATCTATTAAATTTAAGTTGGTATCAAAAGATATGAATATGTGGTATTTATTTTGTCATAAGGTTGTTGTGGTTGGAGATCAAAGTGCTGGAAAAACTAGTGTGTTGGAAATGATTGCTCAAGCACGAATATTCCCTAGAGGGTCTGGGGAGATGATGACGCGTTCTCCGGTTAAGGTAAGAAAACAGGCCCTCTGGATTAATAGACTTACTGTGGTGGTCATTTTGTAATGTATTTAAATGTTGAAGCACTATGTTATACACTGAAACTAACATAATATTGTTTGTCAACTCTACTTCAGTTAAAAAGGAAAATAGGCCAAATGAAGTTCCTCAGAAAAGTAGTCACTTTAATGAATTTTGTCCATTGTGTTAAAATGAAGAATTCTGACAAAAGAAATAATTGATATGTAGCATTTGGAATTATTGCTAGTGTAGAAATCAGTAGGCGACATCCCTCAGGCATGAACAAAGATCAGGAGTTTTTCTTGCTGTAATGTAGACACAAGGATGTGTGTGTACGTTTTAACTCAGCTGATGGATGGAGTAGGTATAGAGTGATTGGAGAAATGGAAAATTGAAGTCACCAAGAATGAAGGCTAGAATAGTGGTAGAAAGTGAGACAATGAGGCTGATGCTGAAGTCTTGCAGAATTGAGGTCTGTTTATAATTACAACAGGCAGTCTAGTGTGATTCAGACAGTGCATTATTTGGGGTCTGGCTGTGATTTCAACCATGTTGTGTAAAACTAGTTTCTTTTTCATTGCTTTGTGTTATTGTGTGAATATACCACACTTTATAGATCTGTTTTATTGTTGATGGGCATTTGGAATATTACAAATTTAGGGGGAAAAGAATGAACTGACTATATCATGATCTGTAATTAACTGTAAAAAATATTGTGAACCTACCTTTTACATTGTAACCAGCACCCTAATTGTAGTGGCTGTGGCTGATACTATATTTTAGGAAGGAGTTCACTTTCTTCCAACAGGCAGATATCATGGACAGATTTCCTTGGAACAGACAAGGCTGTTCTCTTTTCAGTTTGTCATTACTTCACTAGTATTTACCAGGACTTCTCCTCCTTCATGGACTCTAAAACTCCAGATTTTTGTCTCCCCTTGAAGAGTGAAATTGCCAAAATCTTGACTTAACATTTTAACTTCTTTTTAACAGCTTCTTTGTTCCTTAATGTGCAAATGCCTTAAAGGGAAATTGTGCATAGAATGTAGGGCTCAGTTTTTGGAGATTTATTTCTGCTGTCCATTTTTCTCAGAGAGTTTGGCATCTTAGATGGTGGCTGCTTGATAGCCCTGGAATCCGATTTTGTCTCTTCAACACAGTGAGACGGCTACAAGTTTTAAACTTCTCTTTCAGGCCACCATGTGCCACAAATCAGCAAATGCCCTGAGGGGAAATAGCTGCAGGAATATACCCATCCAGATCCTTTGGGGTCCTGGACTCAGTCCAGGCTGCTCTGATGTCTTCAAACAGCTAGGTTTTATTTGTTATCCTCTGTATGCTTAGCTAATCTTAGTAGACAGAATTGTTTTTTAAAAGTGAAATCGAATCATTATAGAGAAGCTTGAAAAGTTACAACTGAAAAGTTAAGGAATGTGAAGTTTAGAAGTTCTCATGAAACCACTGACTGTTGACATATAAGTTGTTAGAGAATTTCTTGCTCAAATGTCACTCCTTGGGTGAAGGCTGCCTTAGTTCCCCTTAGTACTGCTCTCCTCTGTGGCATCCTAGGTTTTGCTACACAGACCTATTCTCTCTGTATATTTCTCCCAGTATATAATGAGGCCTAAACCAGTTACAGTCAATTCTTCGAGTTCCCCCATCTGCAGTGCCTGACACAGTTGGCTCTCAATAAATAGATGTTGAATAAATGAATTGTCCTTTACCTAAATGTACCTTTGAAGTGAAATGCAAGATTTCCTTTTAGTTTTTCAAGTTTTGAGATTGATGGCTTTCTGCTTGGTACTCTGTATAATGTTGACTGGAAAATGAGAACCATATAAGTGCTGTGGGAATTAATAGGAATTGTAAATACAGTCTTCTCAATTTTCTGTTAATTTCAGGTGACTCTCAGTGAAGGCCCTCACCACGTGGCCTTGTTTAAAGATAGTTCTCGGGAGTTTGATCTTACCAAAGAGGAAGATGTAAGTAGAATTTGTATGAGGTTTATGTATGTAACTTTTTATAACATGTGTAAACTTACAAAAGACAACTAAATGGAATATTTAACTGAAGATTTCCTTAGGATTTTGTTGCTTTCCATTGATAGCTTGCAGCATTAAGACATGAAATAGAACTCCGAATGAGAAAAAACGTGAAAGAAGGCTGTACTGTTAGCCCTGAGGTAAGTGTTGCAATTCATTTCAACAATGTTTTATGGAAATCCAATGTTTATGGTTTGAAATCATGGTGTTAGCATTGATGTTTAGATTGCAGCTGTTCCAAGATAGTTAGTCTTTTCTTTTTCTTTTAATATTCCAAAGAATATTGTTTTGTGGATAATTTTCTATGATAATTACTGTTACGGTCAGAAAAAGCATAATTTTTTTCTGAGCTGCATATCTGAATGGATGAGATACAGAATTTTCAAAATATGTGTCACCAAAAAATTCCTAACAAGCTGCTTCCCAAAATTAGTCTTTTGGTTTTTGGATTTTTTTTCCCTGCACAGACCATATCCTTAAATGTAAAGGGCCCTGGACTACAGAGGATGGTGCTTGTTGACCTACCAGGTGTGATTAATGTAAGTATCTACAAAATGTGTGTTTTATCTTATTCCTATTGTGAAAGACATTTATAATGACATTTAAAACCTTTTTCTTCAAGACGGTGACATCAGGCATGGCTCCTGACACAAAAGAAACTATTTTCAGTATCAGCAAAGCTTATATGCAGAATCCTAATGCTATCATACTATGTATTCAAGGTAAGTCTCACTGAAAGATTTTAATTGCACTAATATTCTTCCTTACTTAGCAATCAAAGCTTTGTTCTACATATGCATGTTACATAAACATACAAAATAAATGTTTTGTCATCTCCTCTTACTTGTTCATTTTATTAGTAAATAGAATTGAAGTTGGTGATATTTTGATAAATTTCACTGTGTAGGCATCATAGACATTTTTATTGGCTAGAATGTCTTTTCATAACTAAGATAAAATATTAAGAAAATTTTCTTACTATAATGTAGACACAAGGATGTAGCCTGTTGAAGTTTTTAAAACCTACTTTGTAACCATTACAGTGTCTTATTTATTTATTTATTTATTTATTTATTTATTTATTTATGGCTGCGTTGGGTCTTTGTTGCTGCGCGTGGGCTTTCTCTTTTGGCAAGTGCGGGCTACTCTTCCTTGCGGTGCGTGGGCTTCTCATTGTGGTGGCTTCTCTTGTTACAGAGCATGGGCTCTAGGCCTGCGGGCTTCAGTAGCTATGACACATGGGCCCAGTAGTTGTGGCTCGCGGGCTCTAGAGCACAGGCTCAGTATTTGTGGCGCACGGGCTTACTTGCTCCTTGGCATGTGGGATCTTCCCGGACCAGGGCTTGAACCCGTGTTCCCTGCACTGGCAGGTGGATTCTTAACCACTGTGCCAGCAGGGAAGCCCTACAATGTCATTTTTCAATTTTTTTTCAGATGGATCTGTGGATGCTGAACGCAGCATTGTTACCGACTTGGTCAGTCAAATGGATCCTCATGGAAGAAGGACAATATTTGTTTTGACCAAAGTAGACCTGGCAGAGAAAAATGTGGCTAGTCCTAGCAGGGTGAGGGCACGTTCTTTATACAAGCTCCAGTTATGACAGGGACTGGTTGGGGGAGTAAAAAATTTCGTTGTGAAATACAAGTAGTAATGGGATTTTTCTTGGTTCTCATTAAAAACAAAGTATTGTATAGTTATAGTAAATTACTTAAGTGCAATATCCAGGTATAAGTGAAATTCCACAACTGTAATCAGTTTGCTTCAAATACTTAAAACTGCTAATGTTGCATACTCTAATTTAATTTAAATTTTGTATGTTGACATACAGTCATTAACCTCATTTGTAGTATTTTTTGTTATAGTTTAAACTTTTTTTTTAGTTGATGTTCATTAATTAATGTAAAACTAGTGACAGTTTAAATTCCTTTTGGGCCTTACTTATTTTATTTTGTCCTGTCTTTTTAAAATTTTTTTATGATTTATGTATTTTTTTCAGATAAACATTACGTTTCTTAACTGATGAAAGACTGTGAGGCAGATTTTCATAATAGAGAAGGCATTGGATGGGGTGTCAAGGCTCAGCATTCTTATCCATGCTCTACCACCAACCAGCTGCATGTCCTTGGGCAAATCTTGTTACTTTTCTGCATCCAGTCAGTGCACCATCCAACCTGTTAGTCTAGTTGATCTCTAGGTCATTTTCATTTCTGAGATTCTGTGACTTCTATTCATGGTATTCAGTGTCCCTTCTCTCCTCCTCCCTTAACAAGGAAAGAATTTTATTTCAAGGTATGATTGTGTGTAAGATTTATTAGGACATGCTCTCTACTTAATTATGAAGGCATAAAAAAGTGGGTAAAAGTGGGTAAAAGTGCACAATCTGTAGCCAGATTGCTTGGTTTCACATCTGCTCTACTGTTTGCTAGTTGTGTAACCTTAGGTAAGTTGTTTTACTTTTTCAGTGCTTTAGGCTTTCTCATCTGTTGGAAATGAAGATATTAATGGTACTGTCTCATAGGTAATGAAAATTTATTGAGTTAAATATCCATCGTAAAGTGGTTGAAATAGTGCTTTGCACAAAAGTGTTATGTAAATGGTGGCTATCATCTGTTGTTATTATATCTTCACCCCCCATGGAACAACTTCAGATATAAGTACCCATCCCTCTGGCTACTGCTTAGAATTTCTCTTTTTCCCACCCGAAACTCTGTAGGACTATGCCTCTGTGATGGGGTTCCCAAGGCAGACCACCCCTAGGCTCCCTGATTCCGTAGGACTCACAGGACTCAGTACATAGTCATACTTCCACCTAAGATTTTATTACAATGATGGGATGCAAAGCAAAATTACAAAATGAGAAGGTGCAGAAGGTGATATCTGAAGGAAACCAAGCTCAAGTTTCCAAGAGTTCTTTCCTAGAAGAGTCATACAGGAAATGCTTAATCCTGCCAGCAACAAGTTACTCATTAGAGACACAGCACCTAAGGTTTTTATCGGGGGCTGTTCATGTAGCCACCCTCAAGTACCAAGATTCCAGACGCCCAAAGGAAAGCAGATGCTCAGCATAAACCACATGGATTGCACAATGAGCCACTGTTATTTAGGGAAAGTTTTATATCAGTGTAGGGAATTGTTTACCAGTTAAGTTCCCAGATGCCAGCCAAGGACAGGCAGGCCTTTCTGAGGACAGCAATCTCAGGCCTGCTGTGTTAACTCTTTTCTGTACAACCTCGGTGACCTTAGCTTAGCCTTGTTTTTAAGGGTAAGGCCTGCCCTTGGCAGTATTGGTCCTGATAGGGAGGAGGGGAGAAGTGAGGTAGAAGCAAATTTCTGTGCTTCCTTCCCATTTCCCATCATTCCTTTCATTTTTCTCCTCTTCTTTAGGATAATGAGTTTGCATTTCCTTTGAATACAGTTGAAGCTTGTATCAGTCTTTTTTTATACCAAAGATTCAGCATTAGCTTAGAAATGTAACTTGTCTTAGAGGAGGGATTCTTATCTCAGTATTAATCTTAATGAGCTTCTGGGAGTAGGAACTCTTTTATGTTATGTGTGAATGATAGATCTCTGTGCAAATGTGCATTTTTCTGGAGACAGAGTCTGTAGTTTTTATTTCTTTTAGAAAAGGAGTTTTGACCCTAAAAGAGTTGAGAACCACTGGATCCAAATTTTTTTTTTATAGAGTTAAAAAAGAAAAAAAAAAAAGACTGTCCAACTTTGTTAGAATTTAGATATTGGGGAAATAATAATAGAAGCTACTATTATTGTGTGCTTCTGCATGCCTGGCACTGTGTTAAGTATCATATAACCTTTTCAACTACCAGTTTGAAAAAGTTAAGTAGCTTACTTAAGGCCACACACCTAGTAAGTGCCAGAGAAGAAATTCAAACTAAGGCCTGACTCCAAAGCTCTATATGTCATTCCAAGTTCTAATTTTGGTACTTAAGTTTTAACAATACATTTTTAATATAACAAAACTAAATGTATTTAATTTTTTCCTCAAAGAGCAATTGAAATGCCTTTCAGTACTTTTGTACAGACATATATAGCAATTGAAATACATTTCAGGACTTTTGTACAGACATATATTTACCCAAACATATACATATATAGCATTATTAAATTTGCTTTCTAAATAGCATGTTATGCTTTAAAAATTATGTCAACTTAACATCTGTTTATTTTTCCCACTTTTGAAAATAGATTCAGCAGATAATTGAAGGAAAACTCTTCCCAATGAAAGCTCTAGGTTATTTTGCTGTTGTAACAGGAAAAGGTATGCAAAGACAGATTATTATAGTGTTTTGTTGTTTTCAAATAATAAAAATGAATTTTATTAGTGAGAACTTTACCATCATCTCTCCCTAGGAAACAACTCTGAAAGCATTGAAGCTATAAGAGACTATGAAGAAGAATTTTTTCAGAATTCAAAACTCCTAAAGTAGGTATCTTGTTTAAATATTTAAAGAATTTATAGTGAGGGAGTAACTTCAGCTGTTTTCATTTAAAAGTTTGTTTTATAGCTATCAGTTTAACATTGAATTTCCAGAACTGAATTCCCAAATAGCGATCTGTATTTAATAAGCAAGTCCTCAAGCTACTCTGACAGAATTGGGAGCAGTTTGTCACACAGTACAGTACATGCTGTTGTAATAAATTGCCCCTTGGCATATGGGCATTGGAGACCACACTGACACCACTTAAGTTGTTTTACTTATAAGGTGATTTTTTAAAATCAACACTTACATGTTTAAATGCGTGTACACATTTCTCTTACAGTATTGGGGAAAGTTGGAGTGAGGGGTGGGAGTGTGAAAGGGGTGTCCTTAAATAGATATTGACAGAAATTAACAGAAAATAAGATACTGACAGAAAAGCAATGAGGAAAAGCTAAAGGGCAACTGAATTTTAAAACATTATAACATGTAGAGAGTCTCTTGAACTGGAAGAGTGCGTTTGCCTCTATATTAGTATAGTAAGTCAAGGTCGTCTTTTCACACGTAGTCTTGAGAATTGTCTGTTGGGTTGGGAGCTGGCAAGTGGGTAGAACTATGCTATCCAATATAGTTGTCACTAGCCTTGTGTGCTTGTTTAAATTTATTTATTTATTTTTGGCTGTGTTGGGTCTTTGTTGCTGCACACGTGTTTTCTCTAGTTTCAGCAGGCAGTGGCTACTCTTTGTTGCAGTGCGCGGGCTTCTCATTGCAGTGGTTTCTCTTGTTGCGGAGCACGGGCTCTAGGTGGCGTGGGCTTCAGTAGTTGTGGCTCTCGGGCTCTAGAGCACAGGCTCAGTAGTTGTGGCTCATGGGCTTAGTTGCTCTGCGGCGTGTGGGATCCTCCCACACCGGGGCTCGAACCCATGTCCCCTACACTGACAGGCAGACTCTTAACCACTGTACCACCAGGGAAGTCTCTAAATTTAAATTAGTTAGCATTAAATAGAAGGAAAATGTGAGTTCCTCAGTCACACTAGCCACACATTTCAAGGGGTCAATAACCCCATGTGACTAGTAGCTACCATATTGGACAGCACGGGTATAGATTACTTTCCTCATCACAGAAAGTTCATTGGACCGCCCTAGTATAAAATGATTTAAGTGGCTATTCTCATTATGTTATAACAAGCACATTCTCAAACTTGGTGATAGTATTGTCCTTTCTGCCACTTTAATATACTTTAGCTCTGGTTATTGTTTTGTAGGACAAGCATGCTAAAGGCACACCAAGTGACTACAAGAAATCTCAGCCTTGCTGTTTCGGACTGCTTTTGGAAAATGGTACGAGAGTCAGTTGAACAACAGGCCGACAGTTTCAAAGGTAAGTTGGGTTTTTAAAATAAACTCTCAAATTTAGATATTTTATTAGCTGGCAGTCTTGGGCATCCATCAGATTCTTTACTTCCTTTGCTTTAACAGTTGCTTTTCATTCATTTACTATAAGATAGTATGTAGGAAAAGGAAAACTACAAATCTTCAGTTGTATGAGAGCAGGATTTTTCTTTTCAGGGGAAACATTGCTAGGAGAACATTACAAAATTTAAATAGAAAGTTTGCAGTAGTGTTTGGGAGAAAGAACCTAGTATAACTATAGAGAACTCAGATTCTGCCTTTTTAGAGGAAAGAGAGGAAATGTGTTGGGAAGCAGAGCAGACAGTGTACTTTCAGCTACGTTGTACTGGTTCCTGAATACCATGCTTTCTGGTTCCATGGCTTTGCTTGCTTCCGTAGTTTCATTTGGTGAGAGTATATCCTCCGCCCATTTTCTCATTAGGAAAGCCTACCTATTTATCCCATTAGTCCCTCAGCAACCTTGTAAGTGTCATTCTCATCTTACAGAAGAGCAAACTGAGGCAGAGAATAATTTACCTAAGTAACACACCCAGCATCAAACAGTAATAGATAATAGACCCAGGGTTTGAATGGGGTTCAAAATCAGGATTGAGTTGGTGGTATGACTTCAGAGTCCCATGCTCTTAGCAGCTGTACTAAATTGTGTCAGCTGTGTGCTTTGTGGATTGAAAATGGAGAAACAAAAGTCAAAGGGATTAGTTTGGAAAACTGTTGTAATAATGCTATTCTGAGATATTGAGAGCCCAGAGTACTCAGGAGCTATCTGTGCACACTCAGAAATTCAGTTAATATAGCAGATATGTGAGAGATAGCCTTTAACCACTGCATCTGGAACTGAAGCGAATCCTCAAGCTTGAGCATTTTTCCTTCTTCCTCAGCAACACGTTTTAACCTTGAAACTGAGTGGAAGAATAACTATCCTCGCCTGCGAGAACTTGACCGGGTAATATTTATGTACCTCATGTATTCTGTAGATATCTAATTTAGTATTGTGCTCTAACAAAATTTATGTTGACAAGCAAAATCTGGTAAGCTAAATTGTTTTGGTTTTAACCATGATTACTAATTTAGAGTTGCAAGAATACATTTCCACAAACAGTTGTCACTTTTACAAATAACTTAAATTATTTATTACATAATAAAAAAAGTAATTAGGGATCATAGGATATCCAAACAAGTATTCAAAATCTTTTTCTGAAAAGGTGAAGAATAGTCTTTCAAGGTCTTATAAATTAACATATTTATGTAATGTAAACTTAAAAATTATATATCAGCTTTTTAACCTTTTCACTGTTTATACTCTAAGTTAATAGGTCTTAAGTATTGGTTTTCCTTGATTATAAAATGCCATCAGTAGTAATACACTAAATTAATGTGCGCTGGTAACTTTCACATAATGTTTGTTACGTAAAAAACTTATCTGAACAAATGTTCCGTGAAAAACTGCATTCAGAGTTGAATAAGGTAGACGTGTGTCAGTGTCTTTGTCCTTATCTGGATATTGGCATTCCTAAAGAAAGAGACTAGAAGAGAAGAGCGTTACTTGTTGGTCAGGCATGCTTCAAATCTAAGTCCAGCCAGTAGCTTGTCAGAGGCCTTCCTTTTAGTTATCTCTGAAAATCATGGCAGGGCAAATTGACTGTCTTATGAAAATCTTACTTACGTGTATCTATATTGCCTAGGACGAACTGTTTGAAAAAGCTAAAAATGAAATCCTCGATGAAGTTATCAGTCTGAGCCAGGTTACACCAAAACATTGGTGAGTATTTGACCTTTTCTCAAAGACTTTACTATGTGAATTATAATGGAATACTAAAACTTAGATTGATAAAGCAATGATTTATTGTAGCCTTGGCCTGTCCCCCCAAACACTTAGTAAATAGGCAAGAACATAAAGGTATGTTTTTTTGCAAAATCTAACCACTATCCTAGTCTAACCAATTAAATATTTTAAGTATAATGAATTATGTATTTATTCTGTATGTCTGAGAAGAGATATTCCGAAAGATAACTTTCTCCATGCTCTTTTTTTTTTTTTTTTTTTCGGGGTGGGCGCCCCTCTCTTTTTTTGGCCCCCCCCCTTGGGGAGCACAGGCTCCGGACGCGCAGGCTCAGTGGCCATGGCTCAACGGGCCCAGCCGCTCCGCGGCATGTGGGATCTTCCCGGACCGGGGCATGAACCCGTGTCCCCTATATCGGCAGGCGGACTCTCAACCACTGCGCCACCAGGGAAGCCCTCTCATGCGCTTTTGAAATCTTCATTCATCTTAGGTTTTTCCTTATCTTATACTTAATAAATACATAATTTTGATTTCTATAAAATCATTTAGGTAAAAGTTTTATCAAATTGTGCTTTAGCTAAGTATCAAACAGTCTAACAAAACCGGTTGCTCTTGTTGGATTACACGTAGAGAACAAAACTACAGAGAAAATTGATTTGTAAACGGAGAAGAGTATATTACTTTCAAATTCTCACATCTGCATAAGAACACTGGTGCTTTTGTAATATGTGTCTGATATGTTTTGTACAAATCACATTTGAAATTGAATCCTATTTGAGATTTTTTTTTTAAATAGCAGGTAAATGCATTCTTTTGAAAAATACTCATGCAAATCGCTTTTAGGACCAGGTGTCACCTTCAATTTATGTTTTATGTAAATATTGGCACTCTTAAATATGTTGGAATGGCAGTAACCAAAATAGTTTCCATGTACCTCAAGCAAGCTATGTATAAATAGCTTAAATTTAAAATTTTTATAATCATATTTTAATTAACAAGTCCCTTATATAAAAATTATCTTTATAATGAAGTCTGTAGTATTTTAAGAATTTATTATGCTTGGAGCAGAACTGCCATTTATTATGAATAGTTTCTGTAACTCTTATATTTGCTCAGTTGAAGATTATCAAAATGGAACTTAGACAGTAGTGTCCAGTCCTTAAGTTTGTATTCAGTACTACTAGTTTCCTTATGTTGGTGCCCTTTCTTCCTCAGTAGTGAACCCTTTTCTCTCTTCAAGTAGTCAAAATTTGCCTATTTTTAATCTCTCTCCTTATTGAAAAAAGAATTCTGATCTTATCTGTATTTGTTGATTGATTAATCATATATATATATATATATATATATATACAAAAAAAACTTGTTATCATTAGTATTTTAAGCCAGTTCTATGGCTTTCTATAAGTCATCCAGCTTTTGAAGTTTGCAAGAGATATGTGTGTGTGTATATATGTATGTATGTGTATAGTATATACATATACACATACACACAGAATGAATAGTACTACTTACTAGGTTGTATGAAGATAATGTACAGAAAAAGTGATTTGTAAACTATGATAACTCATAATGCTATTTATGGGAGAAAAATGTGGTGCCTCTCTGAATTTCTGGCATCATCAAATGGAATGGTTAGTTTTGTTTGGACAGAGCAAGTCTGAAATCAAAGTGTACCTACACTTAAGCAAGCCTTGAAGATAAATCTAATTTACTTAACACACGGGTGGTGAAGGGAATTTGTGAAGGGACAAGAAACCTATATTGCCAGATTGCCTATTGAGAAGACAAGGGAGAGAACTAGGACATCTGGCTGCTAGAGATTTATTCTTTGAGCTGCTGGATCTTTTCATCACCGCTCCTCCACCTCCGCCGCACCCTTTTTCCCCTGACGCTGTAGCTTAACACAAACATAGATCAAAATAGCAGGTCCTAATCTTAGCTGTTTGTGCCACATTGATTTCAACTGCATTGCACCCAAAATGTTTTATTTTTGTGACACAGTTGATGTTGTATCAGGTAGTATCTTTTTGCTGCTTAATGCCTTATGTGACATTTTAGGATACACCTCTAAGATGTTTATAATTATTTAAGTCACAGGACTGTTTGATCTGTATTTATAATCTGGAAACACTGTTACAAGCATTTTGTCATTCTATACTTCAGTCATATTTTAAGAAAGTTATTGGAGGTTTAGATTTGACATATGATTCATTAGAGTAAGAAATAGGCTCTCAGCGCTTTCACACAATATACTTGATCTTTAGGAGTCGATTACGGACACTAAGCAGGAGATAGTTATTTTATCCTTATTTAGAAGGATAGCTGGCAGAATTTCTAGAAATACACTTAAAAATGGTATTGCAGTATACATACAATTTTTGGTGAAAAGTATTAAGTTTATTTTGTTGAAGTTAAAAGAATGAAAGGAACATGGGAATGCACAGTTAAGTACCCTCAGATGTAAGGAATCAAGAAAGATTTCTTATAATTTGAGATTTAAAGAGTGAATAGATGCTAGGTAAAGGCAGTGACCAGAATATTGCAGAGGCCAAGAGGTGAGAGCAAGAAAAGTGACACAGGTAACTGAAGACAGGTACCTATGGCTTTAGCATAGAAGGAGGCAAGAGGAAGAAGATGAAACGGTGGCTATAAGCAAGATATCGATGATTAAGGGCCTTAGAAACCATGTTTAGAAGCTTGAAATTTATCCCACAACCAGTGAGGGCCAATGAAGAAGTTTAGGCAGATTTGCAGTTTAAAAAGATTTTTGTAGTAGGGAAAGTGGAATACAGATGGAGAAAACTGAGCAAGGAGACAGTTGACTGTTGAAATAATCTAGACCAGAAGAGATAGTGGCTTGAACTTGAATAGTGGTTGTGTAGGTGGAGAAGAGGAGACATTTTTGAGATATTTGAGAGGTTACCTAGAGGATAGAATTGACAGGATTTAGTGATTGGATGTGTAGGTAATGGAGAAGAGGAGTCATTTAAACACTGAGTACATCTATATCCAGTAATTATATTGCTAGGGCTCTATTGAAATGAATATATTTTTGACGAAGATGAACACATAAGAATCTTCACCATGGTTTTGTTTATAAGTGTAAAAAATTGAAAACTTGTGTTTTTATTTGTAATTACATAATATTTGATTTATCCATAGAGTGGATTACTATGCAGCCATTGAAAAATGTAGGATGTCAACATGGAAAACTATGTACAATATACTTTAATATTATAGTTATTAAACAGTATGTGTAATATCACCTGTGTAAACACACACAAATAGTAATGTAGGCATTGAATATTTTTAATGATAAATTAAGCTGTGAATAGTGGTCATTTAGTGAAAGAGACATTATGGAGGACTTCTTTTTCTGTATTGGTTTTAAATTATATGGAGTAAGTCCTCTGCTTTAAAAGAAGAAATTTTTATTTTGAAAAAAAATTTAATTAAAAGGGCATATAGGTAAAGTTCAGGAGATAAAGGGGGTGATAAATAGAACTATAATGGTAGTTGTATTTTATGTATTAGTGGTATTTATCCCTGGACGATGGCAAAACTTAGAGAAGAAGTCTACAATCACCTAGAATATATACTGGGGGAACTGGTCGATGTGAGTAGAGGACTAATGGTCTGGAAGAGAGATTGTGGGGTAAGGAGAACATCCACTTCCTGACTCTGAAGCACATTCAGCTAATGAGCAGCTTCCAGGCAGCAGAATTTGAGGACAGTTACTGCCTGTAAGAGAGGGTCAGGAAAGGTTTGAAGATGCAAGGAAAAGGGAAAGAATGAGAATATAAAATGGTTTGTTTGTTATGGAACAAGGTATTGGAGGCACAATAAAAGTTATTGTGATGGAGGGGAGCAGGGGGAGTCTGGACAGAGGACAGCAGCTTAGTGATGAAAGGGCAAGTGAGCTGGGTAAGGATAAGTGACAGCAGCCACCTTTGGTGGATTGGGAAGCTGCAGCCTCCTTTGAGAAAGTTACCTAAGGCTTGTCAGAATTTGGTGGTGTGGAATTTTGTTATGATCTCCTTGAAAGGGTGTCTGGGTTGTACAGTCCTGTCCCATAGACTCCTAGGAAGAGATTAACAGACCATGTCTGTTCTGAGGCAGGAGCAGCAAAAGGCCTTCGTGATCAGAGGCTGTATCCTGATTTTTTGTTCATCTTTCAGATATCTTGAGTTTGTGTTTAAAATTGTCTGAATAGATGGCCCTGACAAACTTCTTTTCTTCCGCCTTGCTCTTAAAATTCTCCCATTATCTGTTATTAATGCCGTGACTAAATGGACTTTGTCCTTTGATCCTCAGTGGTGTATTCTCTCCGCATATTCTTTCTGTCTCTCTTTCCTTCTTTCCTTCCTTCCTCCCTTCTTTCCTTCCTTTTGTTTTTATTGAAATATAGTTGACATACAATATTATGTTAGTTTCAGTGCACTACATAGTGTTTTTTTAACATCTTTATTAGAGTATAATTGCTTTACAATGACGTGTCAGTTTCTGCTTTATAACAAAGTGAATCAGTTATACATATACATATGTCACCATATCTCTTCCCTCTTGCATCTCCCTCCCTCCTACCCTCCCTATCCCACCCCTCTAGGTGGTCACAAACCACCGAGCTGATCTCCCTGTGCTATGTGGCCGCTTCCCACTAGCTATCTGTTTTACGTATGGTAGTGTATATATGTCCATGCCACTCTCTCACTTTGTCCCAGCTTACCCTTCCCTCTCCCTGTATCCTCAAGTACATTCTCTAGTAGGTCTGCATCTTTATTCCCGTCTTGCTCCTAGGTTCTCCTGATCATTTTCTTTTTTTTTTTTTAGATTCCATATATATATGTTAGCATACGGTATTTGTTTTTCTCTTTCTGACTTACTTCACTCTGTATGACAGTCTCTAGGTCCATCCACCTCACTACAAATAACTCAATTTCGTTTCTTTTTATGGTTGAGTAATATTCCATTGTATATA